ATTATGCGGCTCATACAATTTTAAAAAACTTATTACATTGGAGCCAAAAAAGGTTTAATATACCTTCTTCGCGGTCCAATTTAAAATTTAATAAGTAAACGTAAAAATATATAATAATTTAACAGTATAACATATGCGCGTTACTGAATGCGCAAATCTGAAGAAATGAACTTTAAGATGGGACGCAGTCAACGACAAGTAAATAATTATGTTTGGTGTTATTTTTTCCCCAAAAACGGTGAAAAAAGCAAAGTTTCAAATTCCATCCCAAAAAAATCGGCCTATCAAAGTAGTAAAATCTACATTGTGGTCAAGTCTAGTATTTTTTAATTCATAGCCTCACTGCACTTCTACAATAAAGATACACTCCTATTTTATTTGTATTGTTTCACACTTGTCCAGTTTCTGAATGAGGCATAAACTAGACTTGACCGTAATGTAGATACTACTACCTACCATGATTCGCTGTCTTTTTTGAAAATAAATCTAAACCTTTTTCTTTTTTCTGAGTTGTCTTCTCTCCATAACCTACATAAGTCATAAATGAGTATATTCGATAATGATATCTTATGCCTCATTCACCGTTTGGGTTTCTGTTGAAGAGCTGAGAAATTGGACTCTTGAGCGTTGTTAATACCAGGCAATGATAGCCAAGTACGGTCTTATTTTTCGTCGTCGATACTTTTTAGATAGAATGTCTGATAATTCTGGCCTATACAAAGTTCTTATACGGTTATATTCGACAATGGCACTATCCTTGGATTTCGCCTGACAGAGATCAAAATTAATTAAGTGAACTCCCTGGGGACTCGTCACCCTGGAGAGGGCCACGTATGCTTGACCACACGTGAATGTTGAGTTGCCAATATCTAACAAAGCATTTGGCAAACTAAATCCCTGACTCTTATGAATGGTAATGGTATAAGCTAGGAAAATGGGGAATTGATGTCAGTACATATAAGCTCAATTGATGATTTCGAACTTAGTTGGAATCCGTTCTAAGTCATACATTGATCAATAGATAGTCAATACATTCGTAAATGTTTTCTTATGACGTTACTACGTTATTTGCGCATTTGTAAAAAACGCTTACAAATATTGAATACACTAACTTTAGTATACAATTCAACAACATATTATGTATTATAATCATCATATTTTTAAACTTCTTAATGATAGTACTTTGACAGTATTTACATTAAATTAAAAACCCAAACATGCGTAGTTTAATTATAAAGATAACGAATCCTTAAAACCGTTTCTTCAATAGGAAAAAAAATTACATTTGAGCCTTTAATTGTGTATAACGAATGAATGTTTTTCGTTCTAATATACAATATATATATTGTATATTATATTATTATAATATATATATATATATGTACATATAGACGTGTTGCTGTTTTATACGTAAATTAAAGCTTGTTGTGAATATATATTTATACCATTATAATTTTAGCAAAGAAAAGTTGTTTTTAAACATAATTGTTTTACTCACATTATACGCGAGTTTTTTTTAAACGTGGTTATGACGAAAATGAAAAAGCAAAAAAATTGTTTTAAAAAAACCCCGCAATGAAAACTTTGTGTGGTCATTATGGTATAATACCCATTCCTGCATTACAGACCTTCTCACATTACCATATGTTTAGATTCATTAATAAACCAGCTGGTTTTAATACAAAATAATATTAGAAATAAATTAGTGTTATACGATATATGATCACCGACGCTACATTCTATACTGACAAATATTACTGTCTCTAGGAATGGAACACTTAGAACCTTATAAATTGCGATATCAGTGATACATAAAATCTGTTTCGGGTGATCCCTCTAACTACTCATTTACATTATTTCAATACTTGTTTCTTAAATGTGCACCGCATATGGTTTTCCGGATAATTTTAAGGAGATTTATTTAAACAGTTTTCTTTTATATTTGATGGTCAACCTAATTAACCTCTTGCTTTATCTGAATTCAACGACGATCTAGCAGTTTAGATTCATTTTGATTAATAGTAAAAAAAAAAAAAAAAATAGTCTTAGAAATTTGACCGGGAAACAATTAAACCGTTTATATTATAAGTAATTTTACTAAATTGTATGATACAAAAAATCACGGCGAAAGCCTTACAAATATAAAATCTAGTATTTTTTACTAACAATTATACCATATTATATTACAATAGGTATATGCAATTGATAGGAAGTATAACATTTTTTATTTATGTACCTATACCAACCGTCAGTTATATGTAGTTTCCTATTTACCATTTTAACGTATAATTAATATTATGTAGGAGTACGTCTAGTATATATTTTGTATTTTATACAGTAACTGATTCATTTTTATACGGACGTAAAGAAAATTAATTTTTTTCTTAAAACGTGTATTTATTTTACTGTAAAGTTGTTTTTTCTTGTAGTAAAAAAAATAAAAATATTTTTAATGAAATAGGGTTACCTACACCTATTTAGAAATGTTTTAATAATGCGTGTCATAACCCATTTGGATATATTTCTGAAATAAAAATGCCGTGCTCCGTATAAAAATGTTTTTCCTTTTTTAACGTGTGGGTGTACGGTGTGTCGAATTATATCTATTATAGTAACATTTAAAAACTTTTAAATTTTTATTTTCTTCTATAAAAATAAAAAGTATATTGAAAAAAATATTTAAGGTGTATTTTTAAGAGCATTTTTAATAACGCGTTATTCGAGGATTATTATTATTATTATTTCAATCGTAATCCTAATGGTAATCAACTTGATGGTAAATGGAAGATTCTATCATCTGAAATTTTATTGTTAAGCCTTATTAATCTATATGTTTAATGTTTAATACTATAAGTTAGGTTAATTTCCCTTAGAGTTTATTTGTGTACCATCATAAATTAGATATTAATTTTGGTAATTTCACAGAAATACGAATGACGTGCATATGTTTTTGATGAACAGAAATAAAAGCAGCTGATCTATTTACAGTAAACTAGTTATTTCTTTATTTAGCAAATGGTTTGTGATTACATATATTAGACTAATTATATCATGTTACATACGGCAAATTATATTAATTTATAACAGACAAATGTAAATAAGAATAAAAATTAGTTAGAATATTAACAAAATTCATTAGAAAATTAGTTTAAAAAACCCAAAAACGTCACTCCGAAGACATTAACCTTACCCATTGGTCATGTTTTTCATCGTGATAATAAGACCTAATATGTCTCGCAAAAACTAGAACTAAAATTAATGTTTCGTGATTAATATAATTCAATGCCTTTGCTAAGTTGGTGTATATTGTATAAATATATTTAAACACCAATCTACAAACATTGTTCTAATTTCAAAGTACACAGCTACCCTAAATACTGTAAAAATGTTATATTGGTGCAGAAATTAGGACTATTTGAATGGAATCAAATGTGTTTTCAGAGCAACAAAATTTAGCCATGATAATGTACATATATACTCGTATACGTAGTAAAGATTATGCTAGAGGAATTCAGTTTTTTTATTGCAAAATTCGACTCACTGAATATAAAAGTTGAATTTGGATTTTAAAATTAAATATGATATCCTAAATTCGACAAGAATACAACGTCATTGATAAAATGATAATATACTACTAAATTCATTTAAATATAAAGATTGAGGGCAAATATTTATATGCATTGGCATTTGGTTTGCTTTTTGTACCATTCAAATGTAATTATAATTTGTGTAATTTCCATGATAACCATCTCTTATTAAAACAATAAAAGTATTTTGAATATTTCTGCATATTTAAACTATAAATAGTAAAATAAATTTTGTTTTGTAAACTTCCACTGTGATTTTCTGTCACGGGAGAAAATAGGTTGTTGTCATAAAAAATATTAAATAATTATTTACATTTGTCACTTCACTCAGAATTTAAAGTTTCAAATTTATAAAAATATTTTTTAACTACTATCGTTTGTACCTATAGGTATATAAATCTCATCTTATCTTAATCCAATAATAATTATACTAATATTAATAACTCCATAACAATAGTTATTATACGATTATACTAATATTGCAAAACCAATGATAAAGTGCAGGTTTTAATACTTCCACACACTTAATTCACGTGAATTCATATAACATATTATTTATCACCTAATTTATCAACTTGGTAATATTATTAATAAATTTACCTATCTTATTAAATTAAATGGAGTAAATATTTGTAAAATACAATTATTTTTAATTTTTTTAAATTTATAATTGTATTTTAATCTTCATAATTTCAATTTGCTCAATCAAGTCCATGATCATCAATTTATATTATTTTATTAAGAAAATTGAAAATTGTGCGAGGGAAGATGGTGATATTAACAATATAGTGAGTAGTCAATTAGTTTGTGTTTTATGCTCAATATTACAGTTCCATAATTTGATTGGCATTCGAATGGTTTATAAAATATTGCATAATGATATTTGTTTTTAGACTGTTATAAAAACAATAAATCGAAACTAGTTTACTGATTCTGTTAATAAGCACCATATAAAATATATACTAAGGGTTCTATTATTAAAAAACATCTTAAGTTGATGCGATTCAATACCCTATACAGTTTAGTTGGCTTCGTTTCGCATTTTTTTTCTCTAGTTATTCATATTATGATTATTCACCAATATATGTTTTTTTTTTAACTATTTCTAATTTATCCTTGGGATATTTATTATTCCATCCTTAAAAATACTAACAGCATCACCTCTAAGAAGTTTCGTAGCACAACGCAATAATAACATTATTAATACTAAAATAACTCACCGGCTTTACTTCTGAATTCTCTGCGGCGTAAAAATTCTCCGGGGAAATTCGATTATATCGAACACAGAAAGCCATGCGTGATACATGTATGTATAATATTCGGTACGGGCTGTGATGTATACATATTATATAACATATAACGTATATGTGGGTTTATGTTGTTATCATAATATCGATGAACAAATTGTTTCAGGTTGGAATATAGTACATTTGGCGCGTCAGAGACCAATCATTTCAAAAAAAGAATACCATTACTAAAAGGTAAGACGATAAACGATTGTTACTTATACCTTTCATGTTATTATTGTTTATTCACCGTGTTTATGTTGGTGATATGCAGACTTAATGAGTTAGCAATATTTCAGTGGTCGGATGTGGGCATTAATGTTGTTACAATCTCGATTATTAAGCCATATATATAAGAGCTTTTTTAATTAAAGTTATAATTTTCAATTTAAATTCCGTAGCCCCAACACAAAATATGTTTATGACCAATATTATGGTCTATTCGATCAGAAACCGACCGTATGGTGTGTAGCAAATATACATATATATGTACAGTAAATGTGTATTTTATATATATAAATTACGATTGGCCACGTTAAATTATGTAGCTCAGGAGTATTTAATTCGAATCAAATTGTACACTTATAGAGATGCGGAATCTACATTGACTCATCGTTTCCCTAAGGTCGAAAAAACCCGGAAGAAACGTCTCGATCTCAGTGTTTGCAAATTATAATAGGAGATTCGAAACGCCTAAAAGCTACTAGTCTTTAAACACGCATAAGTTGTTCGTAGTTATACATTAAAAAATTACTTAGACGAATGTTTTGAACTTTACGAGTACAATTGGTTCATTATCACACATTTTTATACGTTATATGTTTATATTCATATGCACAACAGCATTAGAAATGCAATGGCAGATAATCTAACATTAAACGAATTTGTCTGCAATAGGAGTATTTAAAAAAAGTGTGGAAATAAATTTATATTAAAACTTTTAAATATAACCGGAAACGGGTTTCAATTTACAATACATGCGAAGTTTGTAAAGTTGAAACGAAGTGCCAATTTTTCACAATGTTAACGTTAGTTTGTTTTCTCATATCGAAAGTCGTTTGAAAGCACTTGGTTTTTCGCGGTTCGCCAGTATTATACGGAGTACGATTCGTCGACCGTTAAGTTCGCTATCTTCTCGATATAGGATTTGACGGTACACTTTAAAAACTAGAAAAAAAAGAAAAACCAATCCCTCCTGTTTTTTTCGTCTTTTAATTAGGACAACGAAAAACGCTTTTCCAACGCTTTCTGCCGTTGCGCAGTGGCGTATCATGGGTATGACGAACTGTGCCTACGACAAGGGCGCAAAATTGTGCAAAAGTCGTATTTTTATCCAAAAATTAAATCGACATTTTTCCATTATACTTTTTGAAATACTTAGATGTTGTCTATTTGTACACAATACGGGTGGATTTAATGATGAAATTATGAAAATAGGGTATTTAAATAAAAAATTTCATATGAAGAAATTATCGATGAATTTGGCAGTCATAAAACGAGAAAAGCCAATTTTAAAAATTTTAAATCAACACTGTAATAATAACATTTTCTGTATAAATTGTATACTTAAAAATATTAATGAAATGAAAGGTTAAAAAAAATATCATGACATCACGATTTTAATTGGTTAGAGAGGTAACGTTTTATAATTTTGCCAGGGGCGCTAGCGAGCGCTTCCTACACCACTGCCGTTGCGTTACGTCCGATTTCGTTTTTCAGACTGCGAGCTGTACCTGTTGGCCACCGAATGGGGCCACCTGTCTTCCAGAGACCTGCCGCCGGTGGCGCACGGGCAGCAGCAGACGTGCGTGGTCAAGTTGCCGCAAAGACGCCGGGCCCGGCTGGTGGTCGACCTGACCAAGCTGAACGTGCCGTGCAAACGCGGCCGGCTACAGGTGTCCGGCCATCAGCCGGTGTGCGGCAAGCTGGAGGACCTGCGCGAGTCGGACCGCCACTACGTGCTGGACGCGGGCCGCGCCGCGCCGTCCACCGTCACGTCGTCCGTGGGCCGGTACGCGTTCGCGCTCGCCTACCGGCTGGCCGCCAGCTGCTACGACAACGACGTGGCCCAGCAGAACGGCACCGTCGTGTTTACGCCCGGCTCCGAGTGCCGGTACAAGGTTACGCAACCGTACGGTTACCGGTTACGGCTGCTCATCAGCTCCGTGCCTTACGGTGGCCCTGACGACTCGGCCGCGGGTGCCGCCGACCGCCCGTCCACCAACACCACCGCCAAACCGATGACGGTCAGTATCTTCGATCTTCGCCTCTCCGTCCCACAACTCCCCGATCACCTTACCGTCCACTTACGCGTTCTTACGTCTCGTTCGGATCTCCGAGCGATAACGTACGATTTCTGTTTTATCCACCCGGTATATCGTCACTAAGCGTTGTGGCGTACAATTAAACGTTTTCACCGTTTAGCCCGGAAGGTTCGGTGAATTCGAAACCTCGTTTTGCTCAGGATCTTCGCTCTCCTCGAAGAAATCAAGCTCCGAGTCCACCGCTGCGCATACGGTGAACCGTTTTTTGCGCTTCACGAGGTTTCGCATTATTTTATTTAATCATATTTTATTAAATATGGGCGTAGCCCTAAGTACAGTAAGTTAAAGTTAAATCTTCGTACAAATAGCAAATCAGAGAAAGTGTGACGGAACCCGGTCCTTAAATTAAAGTGAAAACGAGGAGTGGACATTAGCAAGGCGCATAATGCGGTGAATCGGATTGTTAGAACTATAGTTGGTGGCGTGCATTCGGTTAGCAAAAGTGGATGTAGAGCGGGTACGAGGTGGAGGGATGCGAAAGTTGATCGGGGAAAGAAACCCAGGAGCGTCAGCAGAGCCGCCAATGAGGTTTTTGAGATGGTTCTATTTTTATTTGTATTTATTGTTTACTGACAACTCTTCTGTCGATTAGCGTTTAAAGACTGAGGAATTTGTGAAGAACTTGTGTGTAGTCATGTATCGGGCGAGAAATATTCAACGCGTTACTGGCGTAGGATAAAAAGCGCCTTTGGACACGCTTTATGATAGCAGAGTCAGAGGCTGTGTGGGGATCCCAGAGAACTGAACCATATTCAAGCAGGGGACGTACATTACGTGATACATTAAATTTTAGTGCTCGAGCCTTAATAGGATTTTCTGTATTATAAGTATATATTTGTTTTAATTTTTATTTTACCTCGGAACGCGACTGCTGGGCCTGACGCTGAAAAATACTCGGAGTCCCAAAGACATAACAATATTTTCAAGTGCAATACTTTGAATATAGATCAAATGACCCAAATGTAGTGTACACGTTATAATGTTTAAGGATAACACTGGTAGAAAAATGATAGCATTACAGTGAAATGGTTACGAATTGTATTTGCAAGAACTTTGTAAGTTATATTATCTACTCGTACATTGTAGTCTTTGTAGGCGGAGTTCTATTTTATCGATTGCTGGACGTTCGAGTTTTTAATAATAGAAGCAACTTTTGGAATTAGTTAGATGAATTGGCTTTGTATAGTACACATTTTTCACTGCTGAAAGATTGCGTGATTTATAACCGGACACTATAAAGCGGGTACCGATGGCAATGCGATAGTGTGCATCAGCAGTATCCGGTAGACGTGACACTGAGTAAGATTTTGTTAAAGACGTGGTTTTTCAGTTATACTTCGAGAGGAAAATGCGAATGAAACGGTTATCTAATATCTGGGTTGTTAGTGATTTTATAATGACCACGTGAACATAATCGCAGTACCTTATAAGGTTTTTTTTTTTTTTTTTTTGTGGAAGTGCAAAAATATTTTTGATACTCGAGATCCTTGATGTTTCACCACTATTCAGACACGTGTACACGTACTGAATGTGATTAATAGGATAAATTGTTTAAAGGCATAAATATTTACGAAATGTTTTTATTCACTCGGATCCCATAGCGCATTTATTTATGAAATGGACGGTGTCTCGTATAACAAATGGATACGTATATGCATTTTCAGACCTTAGCCAGATTACGTTTTTTCACGCACTCGTTATGTTGTTCTTTTTTCGCTTTCGTGGCATAATATACGTGTGCGTTGTACAGAAACCGAACCAAGATATGTTTATTTATTGAAACGCCCGACGGGACGTTCTCGGGCATTTTCGATATTTCTTTCGTTTTTATTTATAAAATCTGTTTGATTATACGATATTTGCGATCTGACAAAATCATCAGTTCGAAATTTATACGGACTTGTTAGAGTTCAAAGAGCAATCCATCACGAGAACTAGACATACATAGATAGAGTACAATCAAATCTTCGAAACAATAGTTTTCGTTCATTTTTATTATTTTTTTTTTTCTAATAAGCAATGGTTATGTTTTTATTTTTTATTTCTTACCTCCAAGTTTATTCAAAAATATATACTATTAAATATTCTATTTGTTTGGAAAAATATTAAAAAAAAAGAAGAGTATATATTTGTATATTTTCTGTTACTAATTTCTAATACGAGATGCATATAATGTTAGTGTGTATTTATTGATTAACGAAAACATTATTTTGAGTCGTTTTCAAATGGTATGTTATATAATTTATATAACCGTGAAATTTTAAATAAAAAACAAATACCTAGGCAAATTAACGACTGAAAAGAATTGTTATTTCTTCGGATTGTGTTTTCATTGTTATTTAATGTCGTCCCTCTTCCCATATTTATCCCATTCGAGGTTTTGCTCCATAGTCTTAGGCCGACACCGGGGTAGGAATACTTACAAATATTTCTAGGAAAAAATATGAGATAAAATCTCAACATTTCGTTATTATAATTTTTCTTAAACTTATTTAGGTAAAATGATCAAAATCAATATAAAAATTATTGGTATAGCAGTTTAGATAACATTTATGAATTCTTTGTTTTTTATCCGGTCTAGGACATCTCGGCGTGACCATTTCATCGTGGCCATCTCGGCGTAGCCATTTTAGCGTGAACCCATTTCAGCGTGCATTCAATTCATTTAGAGTTATATTTTTTAATTTGATTTTTAAATCAGAACTAACAGATATGCCGAGGCAGCCAACAGATGACTTAATTTATAAATGGGTGTGCAGCATCTAATCTTATGGACATTCATTTCTTAATTAAGAAAAGTGCAATTTGGTCATGATACATTTTATAATCAATTAGAAGCTGGAAAAAGTCCCCCACGGAAAAAAAGAAGTACATCGATGTAGATAAAAGAATAAAAAAAATTGTATAATGAAAAAGTTAGTTTTTTTTATAAAAAAACCTGTAAATAATTATAACAACCATGACATCATTAGTTTTTAAGGAGGATAGCTCATAATATTACTTATCATTAGATTATTTTAATTTTATTTATATTAGATATATAGAGGGATAATCATTATTATCATTATTACCTTTATTATCATTATTATTGTTGACCAATGCCATATCACATAATATAATTTATGTAGCATGTTTAGAATCATATACTATACCGGCTTACAGTTTATAATAAAAATCAAATTAAAGAATATAAGTTTAAAAAAATTAAATGCACGCCGAAATGGCCACGCCGAGACGGCCACGCCGAAATGGCCACGCCGAGATGTCCGGGTCCGGTCTGTAAGGGTTAACAAATTCATATTATACCTACCTGCAAAAACAATGGTATAACATTGGTTATTATTAACGCAGTACATAATGGTATATTTCATGAAATAATACTAAAGATATATTTAATTACTATAATACCATAATTTAGCTTAGCCGTATAATACAAATGGTATACGAGCGGTACTTGTACTTATTATAATTTATCATCTTTAATTACATTTATCTCAATATTCCAACCGTATACGAAGAAATTAAATTATTGTACGTTTCCATAATAGTATGGTTTCTCATCCTAATCCTTTTGTAAGAAACTACAGCTTGCAGAATTCCCGGTAATCACAAAAAATAGTGTCATGACCAGCTCGACATTTTATATTAATTACTTAATTTATTTATTATATTTATAAGAAAAAAAAAATACAATAAAAATTAATAATAACAATTACATTTTCAAATTGAGACTGTTACTAATGGGTCATTACTTTCCTCAAACCGTTAAAACTAATATATATATATATATATATATGTACAGAGTGTTTCTGAAATGATTGAGGAAACTAGTATACGCTTACTCTTTGGAGTGGCCGAATAAAGATTCTTTTCTTCAAAACCTGGGTTTTATCTAATTATCATTAGAACATTATATCGAATCTAAAAAATAATACTTGTAAGAAATTTCTTGCAAATTTCACATACTAATCGATATGTGTCATCAATTTCAGGCTTGTCAGAAATTGTGGTGTGGTAATTAACGAATGTATTAACGGGTTATCAGACCCAGAAAAGGCATATATATTAAATTTTATTTTTTCTGTTATTTTAATTAGGCCTTGGCAAGTCAATGATAATTTTTTTAACGTATTTATGTCCCAGCTTAATTATAATAGGCTTACGATATACATTTTTTTTTCTTTATACATTTTTGCCGAAATGAAAATCGTTGAATTGACAATTCGCCGAAACGTCCATGCTAAAATGTCGGCGCCTAATCGTCCTCTCCGAAACGTTATAGATACGTATTTGAATTGCCTTACGGATAAGGATTTAAACGCTATACCATAGATGATCTCGAAGAAAAACAATGGGGAATATATATTATTCTTAACTTATAATATAAACTTATAGCTACATTTTATAAGACTAATATATTCTTTGATTTGCACAGAATAAAAAAAATTACATGTCACATTTTTGAAAATATAATATATTATATTTGAATAAACATTATTAAAAGTGATAATAACAATATAACAAAATTATGTTATTTTATTAGTTAATTATGCAAAAAAAAAAAAAAATCAAAATTTATTATTGAATTACATTCAATTTCGTTTTCTGTGATTCACTCGCAAAATTGTTTATTTACGTTCTGTTTTTACTCGGATTTCATCTCAAAATAATAAATTATCAAATAATTTTACTATTCATTTCACTAATTATTGGATACAGCGTGACTTTGTACTTAATAACTATTGTATAAAATAGTAAACAAAATACTAAATTATCTATTGGTCTCTTCCAAAGATTTTCATGCTAAATCTATTCATTTTTTTTTCCGTAGCCATTTGAAAAAGTGGTTTTTTCCATTCTCGAGAACATAGTAATTTATTATACCACCAACTATTCTACTCTGATCAAGAGGTTAAGAAATAACGATATTATTATCATGGTAACTAATCAAAGTAATCGTATATTTTCTAAAACTTGCAGACAAACAAACAAAAAATAAAAAGTACGCTATTTATCTAAATGGCATTCAGTACGGTTTTGGATAATAGTCTATCAAAACACTTTTATTAAAAGCGAAACTAAATGTTTTTGCTATTTTCAGGTATAAAATTTAATTAGATTTTAGAGTGAATCGGTAATTTAATAATAAAGGCAAAGAATTTATAGATTTACAATAAATTAATTTTCTCGTAAAAGAAATAGTAAAGTTTAAAAACACTTTTTTGTTACTTTGAAATATTGTAATGAAATTTCGATTACGATTTATATTATTTGTCGATCAAATCAACACGATTTATTTTAAATCTGATTGGTAGCTTTTACGTACATCATTATTTTTCAATCATTTCGTTTCTGAAGCTGTTAAAAAAAAATTGTTATTGAATTACTTAAAAAATATTTAAACATCAGTTGTTCATTTCAACAAGATTATATAAAAACAATATTCCAATTTTATTAGTGTCAGGTTATCCATCAAAAATAAAAAAATAGAACGTTTTTCAATAGTATTTATAAAACTAATAATGGTTAAATAAATTATAAATAAAACGTTAACGAATAAAAATTCAGAATCGAGAGGGAATCGCTCAGAGATATCACTATTATAAAAATGTAAAAACCCATGGATGTAAAAAAAAAAAAACCCTTAATGCATTATCAAAACGTTGGTAAATCCTTAGTTTCAGTGCAGGATAACGATTGCGTGCGGGTTGCCTTTTTATGTAAGTATACCACAGCGCGCAGTACCGGAATAACAAAGAACACGATTTAGATAGTATCTAAATTTGTGCCCATTCACTACTAACAATTTCCGAACGGCAAATTTAATTTTCCATTTTAAAATATAAATATAAAATATTAACACCGTAAAAAAGTACGTATACATTCACGCAACTGACAGTAGATAAGTGATATACATCGTACATACTATATGCACCTAGGCATCTTACTACCTATGCACTGAATAGGTATAAACTTTAATGATATTATAGCACAGGGATGGCTGTACTCGCCGTTATTTCGATAACCGCAAACGTATAAAGCTTATTCGAAGCGAGCCACATTGTTAGGAGATGTTTATAAAATTAAGACACATTATTAATTTTAATATTTTATTATATATATATATGTATTTAATTATTATTGGCATTATTATTAACATCATTAGAAGAATTATTTAAAATAAGTGCTTTTTTCAAGTGTTCATTTTTACTGTTAGTTTTTTTATTTAAACAATATCTAACAGATTATTCTTATAGAATTATATTTATTGATTTTACTTTAAGTTTCAAAAGCCGCATGTGGATCGCGAACCTCGTTGTGGCCATTCCTGGTAAAGTGTATTTGTACCTATTCGGAGATTTAAAATAAAGATAATAATGTCAGATAAAAGTGATGAAATTTAAAAGATAAAAGTTTTTCTGGTACCGGCAATATCAAGTAATAATTATCGCAATCCGATTTACCTTGCAATTATATATTTGGCAACTTTACATAGAAGTAAAAATAATAAAGCGCACGCAGTCGTACGCCTAAAAAGGTACCACCGATAAGGATCGCATGCAATCGTATCGGAGTCAGAATATCAGGATATAATAATCATTACCACTATCGCACTCCACAAAAAAAAAAAACAGGTTTTTTTTAAATTTAATTTTAAATAAGTCAACAAGACGCTAGTTTTTGATGGATAGTTTCTCACCCCTACTCTCTTTCTTCTCACTCCCATTCTCTCTCTCTCTCTTTATTTCTTTCTTTCTTTATCCCTCTCACTATAAAGCTCTGGAGAGAACCTTTTATGATGATATCGTGTTGCAGATCGACACTCTGCCGATCCAGCAGTCGACCACTACGTGCCCGGGCACGTTGTTTCGGCTCACCGACGGCGATGCTGTGAGCTGGTTTTATTGCGCGTCAGCGGACAGCTCTAAGCGCCTGATGTCCATGGTGTCCACGACGAACGTGGTACTGATGGAGTCGTCGTCCACGTCGACGAACGTGCCCACGCTAGTGGTGACGTATCAGGCGGAACCGGTGCCGGACGTCGTGCACCAGTGCCCGTACGGATCGATTTCGTTCAAGGCGGGCCAGCAGTGCCTGACCATCGTTGACGAGACGCTCAACTGGGACGAAGCGGAAGACTATTGTGCTCAAAACGGCGGCCACCTGGTCAGCATCGACAGTCACCGCACGCAGACGCTTATCGATACCGCGTTGATCAACAGGTGAGACTCGTAGGCGGTCGCAAGGGATGCGGGTAAGGAGAGGGCGTGCGGGACGCATCACACGTGCTCTTTCTCTCTCTCTCTCTCTCGACCTGTGGCGCCGTCACGGCTTACCTTTAATGGTTCGCCAAACTTGAGATTGGCCAACATTTATCTCTTTCGATATGTTTCGAACAAGTTCAACCGCGAAAACAATCTATGAACCGCATAGTGTTCCAATGTGCGCGTCACGTGTAAAACGATCGTACACCGCTAACGGCTCGCGATGATGATCTATTCGTTAATACGATCGCAAAACCGATTGCGCCTAAAGGTACTTGTAATTTCATGGTTGACGAGGACCGCGTTTGATTAACGTTATAAGTGTTTTTATTTATTTATTTATATTGATAATGAACGCCCTCGTATGGGCTCAGTACATTAAACACAGCAGAACACTTGATAGCTGAGTTCATTGTAAAAATCATGTGATTAATTTTCAATCACATAATTCAATCCGATTGTTTGAGCGAGGTCCCGAATCCAAAATCGGTCGGGGTCAGGGGCGTATTTAGACTTGCTTCTAGGGGGGGGAGGACTTAAATTTTTTCTTTAATTCAGGCTCAACATTTACAAGTAAAATTGTTGGTAGTATTTATATCAGGTGAATCCTTAATATTTGTAGTTTTTTTTTTTTTTTAATCTAATGCCGGATCCACTTAAAATGGTCTTTTGTGTAGTTCTTTTTTAACACATATCTTTGTTTTGAAAGTTTCGCTTATGTTTTATCTAATTTTTCACTAAGTATGGTCTTCAATCAAAATAATATATATTATTTATCGTTATGGGACATATAACCATTATAAGCAATTGAGCGTTTAACACTATAAATAATTTAAACGTTATTCAATTTAAGCGTTTAAACGTTATACAAATTTAAACCTTTAAAAAAATTTTCATTTACCATTATTGACAGTTAAAACGTTATGAAAAATTTAGCGTTTTGCGTTATTTAAATTAGTATAAAATTTAAAACGTTTTCAAATGTAGTAATACTATAAAATAAATCATAATTTTTGTTTCTTAATAAAATACCCATTACTTACATAAAAATTTTCTTGGTCTAAAAATTCTCGGAGGGGAGACGATTGCCCCCATCGCCCCCCCCCCTCAAATACGCCACTGGTCGGGGTGATCACGCTTCAACTGGAACCGGATATAAAATATCAAGAACAAAAGAGTGGACTGTATTAAATCATAAAACATTTATTATAATCGAAACGCGGCAACAATCAACGTATATAAAAATTATGTACTAACAAATGTTACTTACGCGGCAACAACCAACGTATACAAAAACGAACACGACAGTAATAATGCAATCGCTCAACGGATTGAAATAAACTGTGCCTACCTAACCTAACCTGGTGACGGCGTAAATTTATAGCCGGTCGCCGCCGGGTTGGAATGCAGGTAGAACGATAGGTCATTTCTAGAATATTCGAGATAATACCTATGAATAGTGATGCGAGTTTGTAATATACAGTGATATAAAACTCTATTATATAAGATATTACACACATGGTACAAAATTATTTCATACAGACAGTATAAAAAAAAAAAAAAATGGAAGCGTTATTTTTAGTTATTTTTAGTAACTCAACTATCAATTTATATACTTATAGAATGGATTTCTAATAAAGTTCATTATTATTATAAAAATTAAAAATATTCAATATTATTGTAATCATGTTAATTTAGAATTCAGGTGTTAAAAATAACTAAAATCAATTTATAGTACTATTATAATATACAAATATTGTAAATATATAGGTACAATGAGATAGTATATATCTTTAAAAGTATTAAATATAGTTTTCTCTTTATTTCTATTTAAAAAATATGTATTTCTATGTACATACATACATACGTATGTTACCTATATCATAATTGCAAATCGATAGCATGACTAAATATTAATTTGGTGAATTTGGTGAATAATTCTTGTATTATGTGTCTTTTTTAATTTTTTCTTACTTTTTAGTCATTTTTTCAATTATTCCATTTTAAAATAATTTATATTTCATAATTAACAATGGGGTGATAACATTTGTTCAATTCTTTATAAATTAAGGTAGTACAAGGTTCTATACAATAAAATACCGGTATAATACGGTATTATGCAAAAAATAAATAAAATAGCGTATTTTAACATCTCTACCTATAATAGATAAGATGCATCGTACCTGTCCGTCTCGAATATTCTAGAAAAGTTGAGACTATTCTCGTCAATTATCGAACTTTATCCAACACTGATAATCGAAACAGTTATTGTTTATGATTAAAAAAAAAAAAAAAAAAAAATTATAAAAGTAAAAGTGTTCTATCAATTGGCTGTGTTAGTGATTTAGCAAAATTACAGTAATTTCGACAGTAATTATTTGTGTACAACGTTTAAGATATACGAGTGTTGATACAAGGGACATTCAAGATTATTTGTCATATAAATTTGGAGGTACCGATTCGAGAATTAAGTAGTTCGTATAGCCAATTTAATGATGATATATCAATTTAGATTATGAATCATACTCTCCAGTTCTTCCTAAAGCATTATTTATGAAACCTGTGAATACAGGACCACATACAGATAACCTAACGCATTTTTTTGCATTTTCTTGAATACACTGCCATCACTCGTCCTATATAAGAGTAATAAATTGGTGCACATATTATTAAAACTCGTTTGGAATGAAAGAACAATAATCGCTGACATAGTTATCGTCTACTGACGTTTAATATTCGTGCAATATAATATACTTAATTTATTTTTATAGTTAAATTCGTTACCGCGTTATTTCGCACAATTTAAGCAGGTTGATCATGATATTATAATGGGAGATAAACCGAAACTGACTGGGACCCAATTGACCTACTAAGCATATTTACTGCTTAGTTGTAGTTTTTTTTTACTCCAATACCTAAATTTTCTTGATTTTTCTTCCAAATGTCTAAATTCGTTTATAAGAATCAGAAAAAAAAGTACCCAAGTAGTTCAAGAATCCAAATAAATTCTGGGATGCTTTATTGTCACAGGTATCACGAACACACAAATTTATAATATGTGTATTGCACCAAACATAAATACTGTTTTCGTTTTGTTAGTGAATAAAATACTCCAAATTGCTAAACTTTTCTCTCATGTTAGAAGCGCCGTAAATTGAATCACCAATAATATTTTTAATATTAATTTTATGTTTGTCAAAGCAAGTTTTTAATATTTCTTATAAACTTTTACCTGTTAAATCTTCTATTTTAATGACGGCAAAAAGGCGCTCTTTAATATCGATATTATTTAAGTAGTTAAGGTAGATAATGGCTTAAGCTATAGCTCTTGAGTACTGTTAAACTTGAAATTAAAATTAATATTTATTTAAAAATGAGGTATATGTTGGTCTAAAAAGTTCATACTTGTATACTAAATTGTTGATCATCCATTTCTTCACGAATATATTTCCTCGTGGTTTCTAGTGCACCAGTAATTTATTTATTAACAGTAGTTTTGGAAACAAGTGTAACAAGTATTACAAGAAATTTGAGTCAGAATTTCTGTAGAAGTAATGTAAATTACTTGTACTTATGACAGTACACTTAATTTTTAAGAAAAATTCATACGAAATCATTTATAATTTTTAAATCTCTAAATAGAAGTAAACTATTGAAAAATACGATAAATACAAATATTATAAATCGAAAATTTAACTCATTTTTAATCAGTCAATTTGTAAATAGATTAAAACTTTAAAGGTCAAAGTTGCTTGAAAAAATTCACATAGTTCAAATTTCAAATCAAAAATAGCTGGTGCTTTTTAAAAAAAGTTATTTTTTGCGCGCGCACAGAATTTTTTTTTTTAAAATTAAAATTTATCAAAAATAAATGTAATTTGATGTATTTTATGCATTACAAGAAACCGGAATTGCGTACAAGGTTATGCATTCGAAATATTTCGTGTTACCTTTATGGTTGAACACACTGTATATATAATTAAATTAAAAAAAAATTTCCAAGACAAAAACTTTGTTCCAGTAAACTCGTGACTTAGTGTATCCCTATGAGAAAAAAACCACACGGCATCAAGTCGCAAGATCGAAGGGGGTAGCTTTGGCCACGCAACGAGATTAGTCTGTCAGGGAATTTCTCACGCAGCAGAGGGATTGTTTCTCTTGAAGTGTAACAAGTTTCGCTGTTTTGTTGTAACCATACAAGAATGACTACTGAGCTTAGTAATTTTCTTTGGCCTTCTTTGGACCAAATAAACATCAAACACTTTTGTTTTCAACCTGTCACACTTCAAGAAAAACATTTTGCTGCGTGAGAAGTTCCTGGACAGACTAATTTCGTTGCATGGAAACCAAAGCTACTAACTTAGATCTTGTGACTTGACGCCGTATGAATTTTTCTTATGGAGATACACTACAAGTCATGAGTTTACCAGAACAAAGTTCGAAATGTCTTGAAACTCAAGCAATAAATTCGTCGTATCCTCAACGAACTTGATGGTGTGATGTGTGATCGAGTGACGGTAAATGTTATGGAAAAAATAATCGCCTGTAAGGCTAGTAGGGTGGGTCATATGCCCGATATTATTTTTACTGTTAAACCTTAACTTCTCCTGAAGATAATGATATATTTGTAATGTTTTTTTAAAAGAAATAAATTTAATTTATAGCAGATTTAAATCCTGCGTTCTTTTTAGGACACCTATATCGTAATATCACGGCTATTATAGGGCCAATATTGTAATAAATATTTAGGGATATGTTTCCTGATATTCTCCGGCGGCGGTCAACCGTTAATAGCACGGCAATATATATAGACTAGTATACTATGTAGTACATAGGGAACTACACCTGTATGAAATTTAATCTAATAAAATATTACTTTAAAAAGTACTTATATCTGTCTATAAAAATATTTTTTACACAATAGGTACTCGTCGGGTTGTTTTGTACCTGTCCAATGGATATAAATGATATAATATGACACCGACCCACTGTGAAAATGCATTTGTTTGTTACAAAATGTTTGTTAGATTTCTCTTTAACATCGAGTTCTAAACACAAGCACTGACATTTGAGCACGTATCGACGATGTATATGTATACATATAATGGATTACGAGTAATTCGAGGACAATACATCTCAATCCAAAATGAAATTAGACTTGTACAAAAAAAATTGAACTGATTGTGAAAAGTAATATGTTTGTTTTATTTAGTCAAGTCGAGTACTATACTCTCACTTCACTCTTTTTGGTGCAGAACAGTGGATGTAATGAGTTGCCATTTTAAATTTGAACGATTCCCAATGGGGTTTGATTCATTCCATACCGGTCAAAATCACATTTAAAACAGTTCTCAGACATTTTTTCAATATTTACTTGATTTTATAGAATACTACAGGGAAATCCGAAAAATTACATCACTAAATTATTATTTCTTCAATAGTGTTCAACTCTCAATCTATCGATGTATCATATATGTATAACACTCTTGAATATAATTTTCTTTAACTCAATAGTTAGAAAAAACAAAACAAAATCATTTCAATTTTCTACAGTTATATCCATTAAAAATATTCGGGTAATAATAGATTGATTATATGTTCGTAAATCCGTATTTTGTTTTATTTCGAAGATAGAAATTTATGAACGCTTGAACAAATCCGAGTATTGCAATATTAAAATTATAATGATTTTTTTTTTAATAACAAAGGCAATATAGTCACAATAACAATTTTGGTTTTCCAAAAGCTATAATAAAGTGGATTGGGGATTTATCATTATATGCAAAATAATGGATATAGTCATTAGACTGAATGGACCTTATGAATATATTTTTATACGATGGTATGGAAATTGTCCCTTATGAATGCGTTTATTGCTATACTAGATTTATCTTTAGTTTATATTTTTGATAAATTGTTTTTAGTATTTGGATTAAATAATATATATATATATATATATGATTTTAATATTTACAAAAGGAAAATAGGTTTACTTTTCAAGTTTTTGAACTAAAATTCCATTGTAACTTATTTTAATAGAGAAATCTGCTCATGAATTCTTTATTTATAAATAAAAAAAAATTCAGACCAAATTGAAATATTTTTTTACCAAATATTTTTTAAAATACATACATGTATTTAAAATAAATAAAAACTTATCTTAATCTTACATTTTCTTTCAATTTGTTAACATTTTATTTATCTCTTTAGTAATTACTACTTCCCCTCATGGCAAATATTAAGATAATTTATGTTTCATACTTCGTAGTTCATATTACATAAAAATCTACAATAAGAGTACAATATATAATATAATATTATAATAATATTATGTATACCCATTAAATTATGTTATTTTAGCCGTGATACTAGTTTAAATGTTTAAAATATACATTTATATTATAGGTATGTTTCACAGTATACTCAAAAGTGGCAAACCAATTAATATGTTAGCTGTATCTGGAAAAATAACTGTGTTGGCACCTAAGCATTATGAATTGATGTAATTTTATCGTAATGGACATTCTTGATTCTTCTGATAAAAGAAATAAACTATAAATTATATTATAATTATAAATTACTTGGTTTTTTAGATCCTGTAATGCACAGTACAGTTATTATAATGTAAATTGTAAATCATAGTTTAATACTTATTGAGAGCTTAAAGTCGGTGAAAATAAAATTAAACATTGCTTAACCTCGGTCTCTTATGACTAACTCTAGATATTTTCATTCCAATTATTATTTTTATTATTCTTTTTAATTTGCCTCATATCCTTAATTTTATAGTTAATTTTCTTTTCCTAATCATTTTTTTTAACTATGAAATTTATCACAAATTTACTATTTAATTATAATTATAATACGTTTTTTTATTTATTTCACAATTTCAACACTACTCTTAGTTTTAATAAACCAAAAACCAAAGAACCGTGTACTAAATAAAGAACAAAGGAGTAAAAGTAATAGGTGTAGGAAATGTTCCTTATGACAAAAAACAGAGTAACATTTTTTTTTTTTTTTTTTTCATAGCAAGTGTTGGAACACAACGAAATTACATATTATATTTAAAGTCATGAATTGTTCATTCAATTCTTATTGTCAGTATAAAGAGACTGCAAGATTACTGCTTATATAAATTCAATTCTGACTACGTGTTTGTAGTTTCCGTTAAATAAAGGGCCTTTATAAAAGGAATGCTTTCATTTCACTCGAATGTACCATGGAAGAATAGTAAAAGCATTAGGAACGGATAAAGATAGGTTACAATCCTCTCCATAATTTTTATTTGTATAGATTATTCATAAAACACGTTCAAGGTACTTTTGTTCTATAAATATTACATTATAGTAAATAATCATGTTGATATGTAAGCTGTATTCGTATAGTATTATTGTATATATATTATATGTATAGTATTTGTATTTAAGCTTTTCCAAAATCTATATCAAGCTTTTAGAAAAATTATAGTTATATAAATATTAGTAATATAAGTATTAAAGATAAGAAAACATAGATCATAACAGATTTCTGGTCAATACTAAATATAGCCCACGATCGACCCTAGGTAAATCCTACAAATTAAAAGTTTTAGCGCGAACCGCTGTTAAAATTAATATATATTTAACGGAATTATTTGTTTATCGTGTGAGCCGACGTGTTTTCAGTTTCTTTTTTTCTTTTGGTTATCTTATAGATGAAAAGGAAAACATGATGATTCGCTCTTTATAGTTTGATTTCAATTTCCTAATCGTACATTAAATTTATTTTTGTTTGAAAAGCCCGAGTTACAGTGACAGTATTGCATATTGGATTGGAGCTACGGACATGAATAATGAAGGGTTTTTCAGATGGACAGACTCATCACCGTTCACCTATTCTAGTAAGTTAAATTAACCCTCTCTGTATAATTAGCGTCTTCTCTCAGCCATCGTTTAGATTGATATAACTCGGAGGCATAAAGTTTTTTACATAATACGTATACATAAACAAACGCATTATTTATGCAGATTGGTACCAAGGACATATTCATCAATCTTACAGCGGTCCCAACTCAAAACAGCCCAACGACGACGGCTTAAGCAAACAGGACTGCGTAGAACTGAGACAAGTGTACAGACCTCAACACCGGTTGATCAAGTATTTTAACCGCAATTCGTCGTACACTTGGAACGATCGCGATTGCTCTGTGAAAAATCGATTTCTGTGTCAGACCCAACAGCACACTTCTCCAAACGATTATGGTAACTATGATTAACACATGTATTAATTGATGTCTGTACATTTCACCAGAATTTTTATTGTTTTGCGTTCATTGGTCTTAAACTTTCGTGACGTCTCCCCCCTAAAAAAAAACCAGTTATATCGCGTATATTATATGCTACAACACTCCGATTCCAATACTCAAAGTTGTCAAACGTGAATAAAATACTGTTGATTGTTATAATATTTGGTACTGTTATCGTTCCAGACCCGGACGAGTCGAATTGTAATGTCACAGTGAAATTGACCATCGAGATGAGATTCGCTTCAGTTTCGAGTCCAGGATTTCCTCAACCGTACCCCGACAATCAAGACTGCACTTATAGTATTGAAGCACCACGTGGTTATCAGATCGAAGTCGAATTCGAGGAACTCATGTTGGAAAATGAATCAACGTAAGTGTATCATCGGCGTTCGGGGCCGTAGCATGATGGTGACGGATGGGAAAGCTGTTCAGGTTTTACAACTTTTTCCATAAGCCTTTTTCGAAAATTGCGAAAAACATTTAATATCTTATACGTTAACGATTGAAACAACGTCGATTTGCTCGGAAACTCTTTATTCTTCACCTATAACCTATAGTATTATGTTGTCGATCGGATTTAATAACGCTTCACTTAAAATGGTGGTAGTTATTTTTCCGGTTCGCAAACGTCTTATCGACATTGGACCACGACAAAAACGCAGTGGCTATGTTAATATATTTTTTTTTTTTTTTTACAGTTGTAGTTACGATTACGTTGAACTCATTCCGGAAGATGACGACGAAGGCCCCAAATACTGCGGCGACAAAAGTGATGTGCTTAAACTGACTAGGTACGTCACCAAAAGACCCAAGCTGAGGATACACTTTGTTTCCGATTATTCGCATTCGTTCAGCGGTTTCAAGGCTCGCGTATCCGCGGAACACGGTAAATAGTCGACCGCGGTAAACCGAAAATAATATTATAAGATTAATCACGTTTCATGTGAACGTTGCAGTCAATAACGAGTGTGACGACGCGCGACAGCAAATGTTCAACGGGTCGTGTTATTTGTTCGCCAGTTACCCGGAAGTGTCTTGGCACACGGCAAGAAGTATTTGCAACGGAATAAAGGTATGTTCAATAGGAACCGCTGGGTTTTGTTTACTTATCCTACGTACATTCCGATTGAAATTAGCGATTGTTTTCCTTTTTAAAACTCCATATTTAATACATATTTCGTTCATCGTGTTAAGGCGGAACTAGCCAGCATTCACAAAGCCGATGAAGAACAGTTTATCGAATCATTCATCCGAGAGTCTACGGACACCAGGTCCGCTATTTATTGGCTGGGTGGAACGTGGAACGACAAATCCTGGTCCTGGGTCGACAATTCGACGGTGACGTTTTCGGGTTCGTAATCTCGTTTTTTATTTTTTTGAACATCCCGTAAATTGTTATGTATCAGAGTTGGGCATTAGTCGAATAAAATATTATTCGATTGATTATTTGAATAAAAAATAATTCTTCATTGATTTATTCTTTATTTTATTATTGATTTTTATTTTTATTCATTATTTTAATTTGTATTATTATTCGTTATTCACTATTCGTTATTCGTTATTCCCTATAATCATATAAATAATAAATTTAAATCCAAAATAACCATGTATAGTGATAATATACTTATTATTTAGACTTAAATAATATATATATATATATATATATATAAAGGTAATACATATTAATATATATAATAATTGACAAAAATAAATTAATTATAATTTTATATTTAATATCATTATTTATTTAATATCATTCATGATTTTAACGAATAAATTTATTCTGAATAATTGTTTTATTAACGAATAAAACTATTCAGAATAATTTTATTCTTTATTCAGTACACCACAATTATTCAGAATAAAAAATTATTCTTTATTCATAAATAAATTAGTTATTCAGATTTTTATTTTTTATTTATTACTTTGATTTGTTTTTGCCCAACTCTGATTATGTATACGAAAAACAATTCCGTACATTTGTCTAATTGTATACGCGTATATATAGCATGGTTAGCGACGGATACTGTGAACGCGATACCGTACAAAGACATCTGTCTGGCGATCAGTTGGCTATCTTCACCGCCCATCAACCTTCCGCGAGGTCTTTACTGGACGGCAAACGTTTGCAGTACGGTCGGTGGATACATTTGCAAAAAAAGTCAGCTGAGTAAGTTCGATTTCGTACACGTTTGAACAGCGCGTTTCATATGTAATATCTACGATCGTGTACACACTGGACAGAGAGCTATGCAGAGGCGGAACTAGGGGGTGGAAGACAGGGATTCATCCCCGGGCGTAACATTTTAGAGGCTGTATTTTTCGTAATTATTAACAGCTAATTTTATATTTTTAACTTTGTTAAATACTGATACCAGGTTGAAACTCAATAAATATGATTGTACATTAATTATTGGAAAAAATTCTTGAGAAGAATATTTTATTACTGGTGATATATGATAGGGCGTAATTTTAACATTTTCCCCGGGCGTAAAAATTCCTAGTTCTACCTCTGGAGCTATGGGATGTAATTATCAAACGTAACAGCTGTACCGAATGTCACCAAAGCGTGTGCGGTTCGTCGTTTAAGAATTACGAGACTGTCGTACCCCCATGACAAGACCACGAATACGCGTATAAATAGGCTGTAGAGCTTTTTCCGGGTGGTGTATATAATCCAAGCGCAATACGTTGTCTCCCCAATCGTAGTACCACGTAGTTTTTTATCGTTATGTATTTCCGTGTGTTGTAATATTCTTGCATGCACTCGAACACAGAATTTGCGGACTCTTACAATTTGAACACGACCATGACTGGCGTGGAGGGAACGATAACGTCGTTGAACTACCCAGCGAACTACTATCACAACTTGGACTATTGGATACACGTCGTCGGGCCGAACCGGGCGCGTATCGTGTTCCAGTTTGATTCGATAAACATCGAACCACAAGCCGACTGCCTGTATGATTTTGTCGCCGTCATAGAAAAGAAGGAGCACGAGAACCGGACACTGACAGTCTGCGGATATCGCGGAAATAATTTAGAAGAGTGAGTTTGTGAACGGAGAGTCCATTTTAATGCATACCCAAATATTACTAGAATAATTCATGATAGTCGGGTGGACCATAAGATTTGAATTGGAATTGTCTATAAGTTTGCATGTGATAATATAACTTATTTAAGCCGATACATTGTTAATAATATTCTGTTCGTACCAATAACAACATGCCTAGGAATGTCATTTTTGTGGTAAAAAAAGGTTTGGTAAAATATTTCGAACCAAAGTTTTTTTTGATTGATGCTGATTGAAAAATACTATATTGAAATGAATTTAATATTAAACGCACGTATTGTTGCAGTTACGTATTTGTGACCGATTCGAACGAAGCGTTTGTGCACTTCCATTCGGACTACTCGATATCAAGCTCGGGTTTTCATCTGAAGTGGAACGTAGTGGACATGTCAGGATGTCCATCGCAAACGCTGACCGCTTCCGAGGGGAATGTCGTCAGCCCGAACTATCCGAATTTCATACTGCCAAATCTGAACTGCATTACAATGATATTGGCACCGGGTAAGAATAAAGTATAACTTACTTTTTTTTCCGCTGGTCAAATACCAGGTATCCAGAGAAAGGGATTGTCTGAGGTATTCGAATACGTAAGATACCGAAAGCATAAGTGTACAAATAATGAGTTTTATCAGAATCAATGACTCTGAGGTGTATTGCAAACACTTCATTTCCATTTTCAAATGTATAATAAACGTAGCACGCGAACCTCTGCAAAATTTTCCCGGAAACCAAGTCCCAGACATGAAGGCACATAAATGTAGCTTTTGAATGGTATAGTTTTTAAGATAAAATATAGAAATAGAAAGCTAATACTTTGTACTGATTATGATTTTATAAACGTAGTATTTATTTTATTCTGAATTAATTTCTTATGAAATAAATATCCAAAAATTAAAAATTGCAGTTCATTGAGGCCGCGCTATCTTTCCATTGAACTCTACTAACTTAACAAATATTTAAACAAACAAACTCACCTAACCATTGATAATGCTCGAAGCTCAATAGTTTTAAACAATTATTTCGAGTACCAGAGGTTTTAGTTTGTACCGGATGTGAATATATCCTTGATCCAACTCGCCATCGTGATTATTTCACTGCGAACGCTGACTTGGTTCTTACCTGATGGTTAATGTTTTCGATTGTATTACAGTTGGTCACCGCATATGGATAGATTTCGTGGACTACAATCTAGATGGAATGCAAACGGTCAAATTATACTTAACAAACACTGCGGATAATATAACTCCATTTAAATACCGAAATTCGATTAACGACGGGGCGTTCTTGTCGGAAGGCGAAAGCGTGAAAATCGAATACTCCACGAACCGTTTGCCTAGGGGAAGAGGCTTTAAGATTTTGTATAAAACGGGTACGGCAAATTCGTAACGACTTTATAACAAAGTATTCGTTCGATGACAATATGTTAAAAAATAAAAATAAAATGTTTTCGTTTTAGTTATGGATTTCGAGGAAGAACGCGCGATCGTGTTGCAAGACGACGTGTCCGGATTTATGTACCGACTGAACTATCCGTTACCAATGCACTTCCCCAAACTGCGGTACAAACAGAAACTATTGGCTTCGATCGGAAACAACATCCAATTGCAGTTTAATCACGTGGTGCCGGCTCAAAGTAAGTGATTTTTTTCATTTCATTGTTATTATTGCCGGTGATTTAAGGATCGTGAAGTCTACATATATATTGTATAACAGGACGCAACATATTTTCACCTCTAATTAAAATTTAAAAATGTATTTGATTTTAAATTTAAACATATATTGTCCTAAACTTTTTTACAGATCATAATATAGTACTAATACAATTTATGAACAGTTTTTAGTGCTACTTCATTAAAATCTTGATACTCAATAAATTTTCATTGGGTATAATTAAAATCATTTAGAGTTAAGTGTGCCATTGGGGTTTAACATAAGTATAAGACCAGACGAAAGTCTCCGTATCCGTTGTAACTTTAGTGTATCTCAAAGTTATTAACTTAATATAATAAACTTGGTATAATGGCAATAGCCGTACTTTAGTCTTACGTTGCGCAAATGTCGCCGATCTACGACACTTTTCATTGTTTCATCTATAACCACGACTTCGAACCCTTTTGGCGATTATATCTCATCTGTATTAAGATTTTTTTAGTAAAAATATTTACTCATTAAATTAGTGTTCATCCAATTTTCTATGTTATTAATCTTTAATAAGTGTTATTATTTTAAACGACTAAATGTTCTATAATTTACAGTATGAAATAATTAATTATTCGAAAGTTCATAAAATCATGTTTGACCATAATTTAACAAGTTACGTTTAACGGAGTCTGTGCTTATTGCAATAATATAAAGTACAAAAGATGAAAAACGGCGAAGATCCAACGCCATATTGCGCTATTAGAGGGACGGGTTACGGTAGACGTGTATATGCATATCATAAAACAGTGCATCATACTTAGTTCATTATATGATATAAAAAAAATGAATACTATAACAAGATAAATTATACCTGATGAAAATTATCTAAAATACGACGTCACCTACTCAACGTCTCGGGGTCACTTTTCTCTGGCACTTGATTGCAAACGTGTTAATAATATATACATGCATGAACGTAATTCGGCCGTGTCGTTATAGTGGACACGTCGTTGGGTCGTACCGTATGCCCGGGTCAGCAGTCTACGACGGTCATCGAGATCCACGACCATTACGCCGCGCAGAACGGCACGTGGTGGCTGCTGTGCGAAAACGTGGATCAAATGAAATCCGTTCCGATCTCGATCACTTCGTTCCTGAACTCCATGTCCGTGGTGGTCATATACGGCCAGAAACCGGTGATCGACATAGCGTCCGCGAACATATCTGTGAACGTGAAACCTGGTTCGTATATAAATAAGTAACGCGGTGTGACGAAAACGGTGCGCTGACGAGAAAAAGAAAGAGGATAATGGAGAGGACAAAGCTTTTCGATTATCTTTCAGTTACTCTTACCGTGTAGCCCTTTTGTTTCGCTCATTAGGAACGCACCAGGCGTGACGGCCCGTCGTTAAATTCTTTTATTTCAAAATAGAAATAATTTATCTTGCTTCCATTAAAAAAAAATTAACGTTTTCCTTTCTCGCGTCATAAACGAAATAAAAACGTTCCGTTTTCCGGGTAAGTAAACCACGTTTGTCTACTTTAAATTTTGTCGATTCGAGGTTTGCTCGGTAATGCAGTAGGTCAGGATGGGCGGAGAGCATGTGCCGTGTACAGTTTAAACGCAGAGCAGTGAACAGACAAATTATTCGATTAATTCGGTTGTCCGTACTGTTTTATTCATTCGTTTCGACTTGTTCGCGCCGGCATCATCGCACGAATTATATATATTACACTCGGGGAAAGCGCACAGCCTAGGGGTAGCAACTCCATACCCTGCCGATTTAATCGTTACGACGATCACGTAATGTACGTAGGCAGTACTGGGCAACGCGCGATGATTAAAAAATACGTACCGCGATGACCGATAACGTCGAGAAACCTAGTAGAAATCACCGTCCTCCCCCCCCCCCTCCACTCATTATCCGTACGAACGTTTTTGTTTTACTTATAGATGCCGAATTCAAAAAAAAACTCGTCACGCTGGCCAGACTCCCTGTGAACAACAAGACGTACATAGAGTCGTGCAACCCCAACCCGTGCGTGAACGGCGGGACGTGCGCTCTTCAGAAATCTTCGCAGACCTATTATTGCAAATGCAACGGCAATTACACAGGTAACGATCATGATAAACGAGACTGACTTATGTGCAATTAATGTAATTGTACGAGGATGACGTGTTTCTGAAATCCAACTTTGAACACAGAAAAAGGGAAAAGTCAATTAGAATCTTGTGTTTTTTTTTTTCCTTAGATAATTTTCAAGAAACATACGATTCCCAGAACATAAGCTTACTATGTGATTTTTTTCAACTTTGTACCTTTTTGCTTCTGAATCGATCATTGATATTCGGCAAACAAGTTGTAAAATAAATTACCTGTTATAATTTTATTTTTTCCTTTTTTGACAGGTTGAATTTTATGTTATGCTTTAATTGCACACCCTGAAATATATTTAAAAAAAAAAAAAAAATTCTTTAGTTAAAATTTAAATATTGAACCAGTAAGTGAAAAAAACAAATTATTATCTATCATTAATTTCGGATTAGCAAAAAGTATTGTTTTTGAAAGTATATTTTCTCATTAAACGAGAAAACGAGATTTATACAAAGTTAAAAATATCACCATAGTACGTTGCAACTCATTTGCGCACATTCAAAATTTTTTACCTGAAAATCGACGACTCGTTTGCGCACGACGAAATCAGTTGTTTACTTGAAAATAGATAACTCGTTTGCGCATAACGACATATTCACGCACATGAATCGTGTATACATATATCGTCACAGACTGCAGTACAAATTATCAAATATATTATCTTAATATTATCTTATAATCGACTATATAGACTGTAGATTATATAAATTTGGATTTTCGAAACAAATTTTAGAAAAAATTCGGTAGGTATGGACTTTGGATATGGACGGTACAGTGATGTTGACTAGTGTGTTGACGACGTAAACTTTAATATGGCATAGAAATTTCTAATATTTTTGAATCTTGGTGAGGAAAACAATGTTTTAATATTGATAATTATAAATTTAGTGAATATCTTGTTTTAAATTAAAACAAAAATAAATTTTAAATTTAAAACTTTTAATTAGTGGAAGTTCAAATTTTAGATGCACCAATAAAAAAATCTAACAAAATAATAAAAGTAACCAACTTTCATAATCATGAGGAGTATAATAATCAACGATAATAAGCAAACGAGTTCTGATACTAGGGATTTTCGTCACCAAAATATTTGGGCGCAATCGAGTTGTGCATTTTTGCGCAAACGAGTTGTAGCCCCATAGTATATTACACTCACCCAGGGACATATTTATGCAAGAACAAATGGGACATTTGCACTTGGCCCACTCGAAAGAGGGACCCACGGACTTCAGCTGTATAAAAATAATATGTAATATAATAATAAATGAATATCAGTGAACGATCATTTTCTTCATTTAAAATATTTAAAAATAGATGACAATCTACATTGAGTCAAGAAAATATAGACGCTCTAGGAATATTATTAAATAAATAAATAAATTTTATTGAAAGTGATGTCACAGCAAACCTGATTTTTAATGATGTTATTGACCACTTTTTAAAGCAGAAAACAAGGAAATGTTTGCGAAAACTAAAATAAAATTAGATTTAAAACATTAAACGTAAAAATATTTAATTTGATATATAAGTGTAATATCTAATAAAAAATACTAATTTAAAAAAAAAAGTTTCTTTTTTATGTGTTAATTGTTTTACTCGAATAAATACTAAACATAATAATCATATTTTTAACAATACAATTTTATTCTATGATCCAACACTCATATACTAATTATATACAGCATTAATTTAAAAATATATTATACGTACATTTTTATTTTAGCATTGAAGAAAATAGAGGTGGACAATTTGGGGGACAAAATTCTAAATGTACTGGGCCCACGAATTGATAAATCAGGCCCTGCACTCGCCTGTCGGTTTTCATTTGACAGTCTACTTTTTTTTTTTTAAAAGTTATCGATAGAAATACTGTAAATACTGTAAATGTCAAAGATTGTTTTTTTAAATTGTTTTATTTACTATACAAAAGTTTTATACAGTTTTAATTTTCATAATTGATCAATTTGGAAATAACTGTGATTTTATTTAACAAACTTAGACATTTTTTTTTTATAATATTGATCAATCATAATGTCTTTGTTGATTTTGTAATGCTCACTAATATTTTCGCTCACACAAAGTGTAGTCATAAATTGGTTAAGCGCTTATTAGCCTTTATTAACCAAAACAAAGTAAACAACGTGAGTGTACAACGATAAAAAACTTTAGTCGGCTACGGTAACTTTAGGTGGATTGTTTAAGTTTTCGAACTTTCTAGACACTGTAAAATCATATGCAATATACACGCATATAATGCATAATATTTTAAGTCAGAGGTACACAATCTGTTTCCTTGGGTTATCTATTTTTACTCGAAGATTGCCGATTTCATTAAAAGATAAATTCGAAAAAAAAATAAATGTATTAAATATTCATAGGTCATTTATAATTAGCAATGAATATTTAAAAACTAATTAATTATTAATTATTGAACTTATGCAAAATGAATATGGAGCGCTCAATTAAATTTCATGGTTAATTTTTGTGTTCTTAAACAATTATTTTATGCAGGTAATTTAAAATTCGAACCTAATATTTTTGGAAAATAAATACGTATATATCTTATAATTTTTCCGTAATGAATAATTTTTAATATTTCTTTTTTAAGTACTTTTTTTTTTAATTACATATTCATAAGCAGAATATTTCCGATTATAAGAATTAAATATCGAGTACTTTTAACTATTCATAACAATTTAAAGTATATATTTTCAATAGCTGAAACCCGATTTGTTCTGCAAGATTCTTAATCTACACCTTATAAAGCCTTGCACTGACCCCATCGATGCTTTTATTTCGGCTTCGCGAAGGCAAATATGATTGTTTAGAACTTGATTCTCTCTGATGAATTTTTTCTTCACATGCTATATATTCAGACCATGATTGTTAAGAATATTATAATGATTGAAATAATCGAGTGAAAATAATCGAGTAACTCGAACTTCAATAAGTAATAATAACTTATAGTCGAATATGATTTTATTCTACTAATCAATTAATGACAAATATCTAATCTCACATTTGAATTGATAGAACACAGAAACAATTAATTAATCACTAATATATTCTGTCAAAGTCATCGTATCTAAGTGATTTGATAGACGAGTGATTGAAGTTAACTGATTTGATAACTGGCCGGTCAAATTTATCGAGTAATATTTACAGATGGTCTGTGGTCACGAGTATTTTAGATAGTATGAGTTCGAATACATGCATTTCAGTTAGAACTAATTGTTAATGACTTATCGAACTTACGGTTAATTCTAATTTTAACTAGTCAAAACTAGAATTGACTAAATGAATTAGTGAAAACTTGTTTTGAAGGATTCTAAGTTTTAGGCGTAATACATATATATGTATAAATATTTTGGTGTATTGAAATGTTATTACTCAAAATCGCTTATATATAATTTAAATACTTATGAAGTTATGAATAATAGACTACTTGTGGGACAATCGAGTTTTCTATATAAACATTTGCAGATAAATACTGTGCCATGATGGAATATTTTTACACAAAAATGTATGAAAATCAATCTAAACGAATTTAAAAGAAACTTATAAAACTATTACAATAAAAAAATAATTTCTTATCAAAACGTTCAGTTTGATAATAATTTATGAATAAATTGAAAGTAATTATTTGTAAAAATACGCATCTATCAACATTGAAAAATCACTTCGTAGGTCATCATTGTTTTTAACGCCGATTCTGATCCCATGCCTTCTATGGGCGGTTCTGCATAATACGCACAACAAGTCAAAATATAGTTTATTTATTATTTTCGCTCGACGTAAATATTATAAATCATTTCAATTGCTTACTGCGTTTCCATATATTACTTTTTATCTTAATGTTTTAAATATATTATTTATTATTTATATATATAAAATAAAAATAGACAAAAAAAAAAAGCGAGTTTCGGATTCATTTTTTCCTCGTACATTAAGAATAGCTAATCAATTATCCTTCACAGTAGACTTGTTTTCATTGAGTAGGGAAAATCTCAGGTATAATGCTACACAAATTTAGATGTATACATTTTGTTGTATATTATCATGTTGTAAGTTGTTCATATATGTATTCTTTCTAATTATTATTACTTTTGTCTTAACGTTATTCAAATGTATAATCAAAGGACCTAGGTCCGTTAAATTGTTTTAAATAAATAAATAAATAAATTGCACATACATTATACAATAACAGACACCTTCGTTTGATCGCAGGGACGTTCTGTTCGCTGACCTATTGCGATTTGGGCTATTGCGTTTTTGGCGAATGCCTTTTGACCGGCAGCAACGGTTTTGAGTGCAGATGCCAGTACGGGTACACGGGTCGTTTTTGCGACGAAAAGATCAAACCGTGCGAGCTGAACCCGTGCAAGGATCGCGGAGACTGCGTGTCATTGGGCGACTCGGACTACCAGTGTAGATGTTACGCGTACTGGACGGGTATGTGCAACAATAATATTATGTTACTGGAACATCGATTTTAAAATATTCAGATACGTCATAATTTCGTTAACATTGGTAGCGCCTACGCGGACGCAGCCCCCTACAAGTCGCTGTAATCGTTTGCGTTTAACATGGTCAGAATAGGTTTTCAACAGCAGAAACAATAATTATGCTATAAAATAATGTATTTGTATAACAACGATGCACCGAAGAATGATGAAAATGGAATAGCAATACTTCTGCAGCTTCCGTTTAGATCGATATTTTATCCTCAGGCTTATTCGGTAACCGACCGGATGTGTACCTACAATATAGGTATATTATATATTATATCGTTCTGACTAGAAAACTCACCACCGAAAAACATCCGTCTTACTGTGATTGCGGTGTACAAAAAACGTATTATTAACGAGACTGTCGGTTGTGTTGCTATTTTCCGTCTTAATATTGATGTCTATCACTTAATAGGCAACAAAGAAATTTAGACGTATACTTTTCGATCGGTCTTACCACAATAATTCGACTAAACTACTGTTGTGTTGAGGAATCGATAGACATGCACGACAAACCATGTAATCTAACCAATTTAAATATCGCCTATCCGCCTGTGTCCCGTGATTAGCCAAATCAATAGAGGTGTGAAAATATGGCCGTTTCAATTACAACACGTGGAAGTGTCAATTCGGTTTTTTAAATAAACCTTTAGCGCGTTTGGACAGGTACAGTTTTACTGCAGTCCAACCTATTTCAGTGACGTGTTAAAACATTAATTGTTATGTCACTTTGTCAGTTAGAAAAATCATAAAACTGAAATTCACGATGAACGATAGTTCAAATACGTTCCTATTTGAAATATTTGAAAAAATTCCAAAAACGCCTAAAAATAATTTGTAAAATTATTAAAGCAAATAACGGAAATACATTATTGAAGTTCGGTTTGTACACGCACCATCTATTTCTAAATAATACTAACGACTTAAGTTCTATCGGCATTAACAAAAAATTATAGTAGGACATTAACGTACGGCAGATAAAAAAAAGTTACGTCGTGTTATGAATTTACTCCGGTGTACCGGAAATGATTCCTCCGGTATAGCGATCATCAAGCCCATGATTTCGAGCTGTACGACTTTTCTTTCGGTTTGAAAACAAACTTCTACGACCAAAGTATTACCTGAATTCAAAGTGTATTATCTAAATATCGTTCATTGTTTATTAAAAATATGTTGGTCGTTAGAGAATAGATTATTTTTTCACAATGACCCGGCAAATTAGGATACTCGCATGAAAACCACAATTTTTAAATCGTTCCGTGTGTATTCCGACAGTTAGATTTATATCACATACGAGCGTTTGAACGTGTACGCGTTTAAATTGCTTCGTACGTGTACGGAACCCACGTCCTACGTGAATATATATTTTTACGGTAAATGCAGGTGATCAATGCGAGAGGAAAGTGTTACACATCACGTACAAACCGTTAACGGACCGAATGCTTCAAGAACCGTTTTGGTTGGGTCTGCTCACGGTGTTTGTAGTGATGGGCATACTAGGAATAATATGGTGCGCTAAACGTCACGTGCCGGAAAAAATCGAGAAAATATTATCCGAAGAAGCCGAACGCAGCAGACACTGTAAGTATTTATGCGTATTGCGCAGTTTACCGTTTTACTATGACGTAAATTGTTAGTATACATTATTTCTATGAAAACTATTGAGTTGAAGCATTATTTTAAGGTCTCGGGGATCTGACGTCTGTGTCCGGTCGATCACAATCGCATTACAGAAATCAATAAAAATATAACTCATGACATATAGTTCCATAATCGGTATACGTTATTTTTATTTTATTGTTAAAAATTATATTTCCTTATATTTCCTATGATAAAAATTTCTAGCTTAGGGTTCAAATTTGATAACACTTACGAGAAAAAAAAACTTAGGTAATAAAAATATTAGATTTATTTGAAGAAATAAAAGATAAACTATAAGTTTTGGGAAATTTGAAACTTAGAATAGGTTATTAAAAATTAAAAATCAACTGTTTTCTATTTCAGTCTTATATCTTATATTGGTGATAAAAATTAAGTACCATAAGTTATTTTGAAAACTGAATGAAAACGTTTTCTAATTTTTTGCCAGACTTGGTTCGGAAAAAATATGTGAGTATAGTTTATTAGATTTAATAGTTGGATGTGAAAAAAATTATTAAATGTAACCTATCACTTCAAAGTAAAATTTATGACTTACTCGTTCTGACTGAAATTTAATGAAACCGAAAGTTGTAATACATTTTTTGTTCACAAATTAACTAAATGAAATTTATCTAAAAGTACTGAAGTTTTTAATTTATTACAACACTGCATAATGTCTTCTTGAACAAAAACAGCATAAAAATAAACTTTGAATTAAAAAAAAAATGGAAGAGAGGAGAAGAGCCCAACTAAACTTTTAGTCTCTTGTAGTTTTTCAAAACAATTATTATGCTTAGAGAGAGAGAGAGAGCAAATATTTCAACATATTTTCATCGTGTTGGTTATATTATTATTTTTAGCAATTAATTTCAATTCAGCAAGCTTAAAAGATTGGAACATTTTTTTTAAGATATTTTTAAAATCAAATACATATAATTTATTACTTTGGTGTGTAATATTATATTTTGAATAAAATAGTACTTTGAAAAATATGTGTATTGTAAGTCCATCGAATGTTTTTCATGAAAATTGGATATTATAAATCGTTGGTAGTATCAGAAAGGAACAAAAGCATGTACAAATATTTGAAATGAGAAAGGAGTTTTTAAAAAATGTAAGCTATGATTAAAAATATATAATTTAAACATAAAAAATAAATGAACTTTAATCAGCATAAATTATATTTTAATAGAGAATTCGAACAAATTATTAATTGAAGTATGTAAAAAAAAGTATTATGTTAAACAAATTTAAAATCATAATGGATTTCATTTTAATCGACCATGATTTTTTCGTCTATTACATATTCACTAAAAGCCAATGAAAGTAGTACAGCGGTCACTTTTTTTAAAGGTAGGGGTATTAAAGATTTTAGTTTTGAATCCTTTTTGCTTCATTCGTGAACGAAGAGATGAAATAACCGCCACTTTGATAGTATCTTCTTATATTAACGGTGGGATAGTGCAATAATCCTTATAACTAGTTGGTTTGACGACTACGATAGGTCTTATCCATTATCGTTACACTCGAATTAGATAATCGAACATCACGAAAAATAAATTATCAGTTAAAAGTATTGTGTTCACCGGTTGTATACTATATTCTATAAGAATAGAATGTTTTTTTTTTTTTTATACCGTAACAATATCTATATGAGTTATAAACATTAGCGTTCGTTTCGGTCGAAATTACCCGGATAAATATTGTATTTTTTTTAACGACCGGCAAAAAAAGGACAATTAATTATTCTCTTTCCTAATTTGTACGTTTTTGGTACCGGAATATGCTTTTGAGATGATTTGTAGCGCACGTTTTCATTAAATCCCTCGTTCCGTTGTTTAAAACGTGAATTGGCAATAGTGCAAAACTCGCGTTAGCTAATGAAACGCGCAAATGATGGGGTCGTTTCTGCGCGGATAAATAACATGTATGCAATGCATAAAGGCTGTAACCCGATAGGATGACATTGATAATATTTTACCTGAAACTCGACTGCGCGATTGGTTAATAGTTTCATTTAAATCCACGGCACGTTTCGCATAATGAGTATATACGAAACATGATTTACATTGTAGTCGTTCGCGTAATATTCATAGGGCCAACTCGAATTATAACACAGGAGAAATGTACGATATGCACTTCTATTGTCCGCGAAAAAACGGAACATCTGGTGTAGAAATTATTGTGTTACGACAATATATTTGTTTATAGTGATCAGATAAATTCGGAAGACATTTGTACAAATCATATGTTGGACACTTAAACGAAGTGTAAGATATTTTTATGACTATCGCTAGGATACCAGGAAACTGGGCTGAAAAACGAGAAGCGGTTCTTATAATTACTGACTTCGTTCCTTATACGGAGTATTAAGACTTTATTACATTAGGGCCTTCGTTAGACGGTAGGAAATATCAACTTTGAGAATGTGGGGCGGTTGAAAATACTATAAAATAAGTAACATCCATGTCCGAACCTGATATTAATTTTTAAATATATTTTCATTATCAGAGCGCGCACGAGAAACATTAATAATAACACCGAGTGCGTAGTTTTACGAACGTATAGCTTTCATTTCGTATATTCTTGTCGTCAACGTTTCGTATTGGTGTAACTCGTGTTTCATAAGTTTTATCAAAATTTTTATCGTTTTCCGATCTCTCTTCCCTAATCCTCTACGTAAAGATCCTCCTAAATGTTAAAAAAAAAAAAAAAAACCATTCGACTTGAATTCATGTGAACTTTAGGCGGTAGAAAAAAAAAACAAAAACTTTATAATACATCGTACGCGCCGGTTGTCGACATTGATCGGTATTACATAACAGTTTCCGTTATTCTTCCATTGTTGTTAACACACGTTTGTGCAGTTACAGTGAACACTTCCGGACGGATGTCGAGTGTGCGAGGCGAACTGCTGGTGCCCACGATGAAAACGAACGGCGCTACGCCGTCGGAGGGCGGGAATTCTCCGCCACCGCAACCGAAAACGTTCCTCAGCCGATTGGGTATACGAAAACCTTCATTAATGAGCCTGACTAGTCCGTTACAGACGGGCCGGGCTAATCGTACGTTCAGCCTGGATGATTTGCTCAGGCCACAAGTTCCGAGTAAGGTGTCGACTATTCCCTCTCTCTCTCTCTCTCTCGAACACCCTTTTGTCACACCACCAACACTACCTATTCACACGCACACCGTATATAATGTATACACTTTATTACTTCTTTACTTCTGTCTCTTGGCACCTCACCTGGACTTGATCTAACACTGTGTCTATCTATCTGTATTATTGTTATACTCAGTGCTCGAACCGGAAAAATTCAGAGGGTCGTGTTAAAACCAACAGGCGTTATCTACTGATCGTCACCCGCAAGTTTATTTACCGATCACCATAATTTACCGGTCATGAATCCTTGATGGTTTTTTTTTTTTCGAACGCTCTCTTTTACTACTATCAAGCGACGTTCATCAGCAATTATTTTACCATTTCGAGCATTGTTTATAATTTTTACGCACAAGCGTAGTGATGACATAATACTTACATTATACTGTTTGTATAATGTCGTAAAACCGTTTTAGATTTTTAATACATTGCGTGCACTTTTTTTTTTAACATATACAATAATGTAAATATACCTTCGTCAAGTAGTATTTGGGACACTGTACTTCAGCTTGTATTTCATATATTAACCTCTATCGTTACACAGCACGTTGTTTGTTAAACATATTATACAAAACGCCTTCGGTATAATTTGGCGAGGACCGCTTTGAAAATAAACGATTTCTTCGTTGTAGGATTTAACCAACACCACCGTTCAAAGCAGAAAAGTGCTTCGCCGTCGAAATTTCGGACCACGATAGCCGATAAATCTGAAATCCTCCAACAGCTCATATCACCCGGGCTTGAGCGACAAGCGAGTTTTAACGATGAAATCAATCTTGTCGAAAAGTTGTCGACCAACAGCATCGGTCCCAATGACATTCTCTTGCCGCAGTCGAACATTTCGCAAGAGACAAGTTTTTCAAACGACTGCTCGATAGGTAAACGATTTTCTCCTAAATCCGATCGCCTTCACCTTTGATATAGTGTACGTTCCAAACGGAAACCCTGTTAAAATGTAATGCGTTTGTAAATCCAGACGAAGCCGTTCACAAAATCGAAAAGAAAGTCACTTTCGCCAGACTGATGAATAAGTTACAATCGGAAATGAGCTCGACCAGCTCCGAGGTGGACCCGCAGACCAGACACGCGCTGAGAAAACCGTGCATCAATCAAGTCAGCGATTCCTTTTCCAGCCTGGAGTACACTTTAGGTACGGCTCCGATAGTAACGTTAGTCTGGTGCGGGTATTTTCCGTTTTCCTCGCGTTTGGAACATTGTTTTACCGGAATAATGACTGACGTGAGAACGTTTCGTTTACCAGAGAATCGAAAGTCGAACCAACTATCGTTGAACCAGTACCAGCAGCAGGCGGGACAGAAGGCCATGAGCGCGGATTCGATTTTGGCCATGTTCCGGAACTTCAACGCGACGATGGCGATGACGGAGATGAGCAACTACCTGTCGGCGTCCACGACTCCCAGCTGTTCCAGTTTGCAGGACGAAGTGGTGGGCAGCGAGGACGAGTCGTTGATGTCGAACGCCGCAACGCATTCGCCCGGCAAAGAGTCACCGACACGGTACCGTTATTCGAACGTGATCCAGGTGAGTAACGTCCTGGCGGGCTGAGGGAAGGACCTTGTATGTTGATCGATCACCGTGAGACGTCGTGTCGATCGTTTTCAGCTACCCGTGGTGGACATGTTGAGCTCACAACGGAACAACTCGAACAACCAGTTGAACAGCCTGCAACATCCACCGTCCATACTGCTCGAAGTGCCCAACTACCGCATGGATTGTTTGTCGCCCATCCACGAGCTACCGACTCCGGTCCCGTCACCGTCGCCCACACCGGTAATATCGAGGAGGTCGGCGTTCAGCTGCTTGAAGGACATGGACGACGATCCTCAAAATCAGGTCTGTAGACGGCTGTCGAACACGTGCATCCTGAGCGTTTCGTTTGATTAACAATAATTAATAACCAAATGTTGATCCGTAATATACGATTGCAAACGTTTTTACCTGCCTTTTTTCGTCGTCAGATTTGGTGTTAGGCTCGGTCAAAGCGGTGCGGTAGCGATGCGGTACACGTGGTACCGCGATAAAATCAGGACACGATAGAACCTGCACGCCGCACCACCGCTACACTGTTTCGGACTGCTATTTTTTCATTGTCGCACCGATATTAAATTAACGAATTCGATATTATTTGTCCGAATTTTGTTTTATTTTCAAACGATCAAATCTTATATAAGATTAACAACAACGGTTGTTTTACTATTGCGCCGGGCGATAAGATGGACATCATGTAGAACAAATACTGACAAATGTAATATTTTCCCTAAAAACTTATACCGATTTTACTTTTCCAACCAACTCGATTCGTATTTCCTCCTACGTAGTACACGTCCCGTCGCGTTATTCATGTCTCTCGTTGTTTCCGTTGAGCAGGAGCCGCCGTCGATCAGTGTGCCGGCGAACCGGTCCAAACAGCTGACCATACCCAAGCTGGTCGTGCAACAGCCGACGCCCATCAACTCGCCCAGCATGGAGTTCCCCGGGTCGCCGCCGCCGCACAAAGAGAAACCGCAGGCCGGCCGGAAGATGCTTCGGGACATGGAGAAGCCGATATCGCTGGACTTGCCCGCCCCGCCGCCGGTCATCACGGTAACGTGCATGAGCGACTCGGACACGGAGTCGGCGACCACCAAAAACGGTACGGACTCGTCGAAAAACGGAAGCGGCATGTGTTACCTAAGCCCGTTTTCTATGTGTTCCCGGGCCGACAGAATAGCCTCGGAGTCGAACCTCAGCTCGTCCGGGTACAGCTCGGGCCCGTCCCGGTGCAACTCCAACACGCGGCTGTGCCCGTTGGACTGCGCCGAGGAGCCGACCGCCGCCGGTGGCGTCGGCGGCGGCAGGCGCGTATCGCCACTGATCCACGCGCCCGAGATCCGCGAGATGGACTCGGAGACGACGTACTCGGAGAACGACGACGAGGGTTTCGACACGGACGCGGCGTTGGGACCGGTGTCCGACGGCTCGGCCCGGAGCAAACACTACCGGCACGCGGGGGGTGACGGCTCGGGGGGGCTGGACGCGGAATCGCTGTCGGCAGCCATGATGACGACGATGGCCGCCGGCAGCAAGCACTCGCCCTCGGGCCTGGAACCGGCGGACGCTCCTTGCGGCGGTCGTCACGTGCCGTCCATCACGGTGCAACAGTACCCGTCCACGTTGCACCTGTCCACCGCGGACGCGTTGCACGACAAGAGCCCGGTGAGCTCGAGGAGCGAGAGCCCGCTCAGCGACAAGACGGTGTTCCGGTTCTCGCCCATGTTCTACGGGCGCATCACCGACTCGGACAGCATATACGACTTCACCAGTTCGGATTGCGCGATGAAGAAGCGCACGGGCAAGAAGCGGGAGCGCAAGAGGCGGCACCCGCAGGTCGGCGGCGGCCCAGTGGCGTCCGCGTGCACCACGCCGTCCGCGGAGGCACCCGGCTGCCGCGGCACCGGTAACCTTCTGCTGTTGGACGTGCCCGACAGGAACGTCAAGAAAAAGTCCCGGTCCAAGCCCAACACCCGCAGACGATCGCGGTCGCAGCAGACGGTCTTGCCCAGTTCGTCGTCGTCTACGGACAGCCTGAACGACATCAAGTAAGGGCACTTCCAGCGCGATACCGAGACGCACCCGAACGTTTTGGCGTGGCCGTTTTGGCGTATGACGATTATAGGCTTATAATTATAAATAAATGAATAAATCATAATTATTATTATTAAATGCATATTTATATCAAATTCACTATAGCAGGTTTAATAACCAATGATAACCTATATTTTGAGATATGCCCCTTAAAAACTAATTATGGTTCTAGTTTCATAATCGATGACGATGGTAAAAATTCTTTTGTCGACATCAGTAATTTTTTTTTTTTTTTGGACACTTACCGGTTTCTGATTGAATAAAAAATTCAACATAGCTAATATAAACAACATGATACAATAATATATATATATATTTTGCTTCATTTTTTTTTTATAATTTTGTATAGTATAATGTATTTATTTTCATATATTTTAATATTTCACTTATTATAACAATACTATTTTATTAATATTATAATATGTTCATACAAGTGGCATTAATTTAATTTAAATACTCCAAAACGGTCTACGCTATAACGGCCATGCCAAGATGTTCTAGACCGATCCTTTCGGGTCCGAACGAGCCTGTTTTCTAACGGAAAAAATGTCGAGGGATTAAAACGTCACACGGAAACCCAAAACCCCTCGGCCTGCACCACGATCCACCTCGCTTTCTTACGATCGCGTGTTGAATCGACCGCGTAACGCGCGATATTTTTCCAATCATTCCGTTAATTTAACCGCGGTCGAATCGAGTCCTTATTTTTATTGCTGCGGCGCCTTTATTCCACGTCGAATTCATTTGAACGCGATCGGGTCAGGCGGACGGAGGAATCCAATTTCGTTCCGATCCTTTATCAATTCACGTGGGCGTTCAATATCGTATGATTTCGAAATGCGACTGTTTGTGAGTGGATTGTGCAATGCGCAAGTCCGGTATCATATCCAAACACCTGTAATTGAATCGTGAATTTCGAAAAGTGCTTATATCTGAAAATTAAAATTTTTCTTTTTCAAGAAACCAAATTAATTGATTTCCTTATAAATTATTTTCTTTGTTTTAGCAATTAACTATAAATCATTCATTCATCGCAATTGAAAAAGAAATATGAACCCTTCTCGCTCGTAAAATGTCGGTCTGCATGTGTAGATTTTGATAAAAACTCGAGATGAGCCCTTTTCACGATTGTTTTTTCAAAAAAAAATTTAATTTTTACCCTCCGGAACACGGATTGCGTTCTTTGAAAATACATTGTAAAAAATACAAAATAATAAAAATACATTTTTGCTCCGTCGTTGTTAGCAGGACCAGTTATAGCAACAGGCACAAACGATCCAGCGATTCGGTAAAAAAACGAGATTTATCTTCCGAAAACTGGTCAGACCGTGCCAAGAGCAGCGAGGACAAAATTACCGACAAGAAGAAAACAAAGTCCAATCGTATCGAAAACCGAAGATTAAAGTGAGTCCATTGAGTTGGGAAGATAGTTGCTATATGCAACTATATGCACAATAGCGAAACTTGTCTAACAGCTCGTTTACTAAAATTATTAATTTCGCGATTTAATGTAAAATTGCTTATTTACCTTTTCGGAAACAGTTTTGAAAAAATTTATATTTTTAACACAAATCACATTTAACACCACTCTCCTTAGGTTAGTTTTGAGTAAGTCATGACCATAAAGTAGTATGCCTGAATAATGTAGTCCTTCCGAATATTCTTATAATCCGTACAATTACTTGTACTTAGATTTTTGAAAAATACGAATTTAAAGTAAATACCGTAGAATCCGCTTATTAAAACGCCGTAAATAACGATATTCCGGATAAAACTATTCCTAGCCGTGTATTTGGTTGGTTTTATATATGACATAGGTAATGTTTTTGTCATCGGGCTGCAACGAATTTCGGACATAACAATCTGATTCTTTAGGTCCCTTTAAAATCGTTATAAGCGAATTCTACAGTGTTGTTATTATAATGTTACATTTTGAATTCCAGTCAATATCGGAATAAATAACCTTTAGAACAGGCATACATTTTTTTTTTAATCATAACTAATTATTATTTATTGACCAATTCTATATTAAAGTACATACTTCAATAAGAATCAAAATAATATAAAAATCAATATTTAATTCATAATAAGTATTATCTTTCGGTGTGACGAGCAAGGATAAATGAGATTAAAATTAATAACATTTTTAAGTCCTAGAGTGAAATGTAGCAGAAAAAGAACATTCCAACTATGATAATATAGAAATTTTTTTGTTGTTGATTACCTAATTATATCTTTATCAAACATTTTCTAAAGCTCAAGTATAGCTGCTCTAAATGTATTTTACGTTGTTATTATATTGTTGCGTTTTGCTTTTATTTAGTCGAATCGTAATCAGGGGCTAAACCGTCACTCCAGGTTTACTATATAGTTATGCAAGTGCTTTGTGATAATGTTTGCTCGTATAAAATTAGGCACACATACAAATAGGTAGCAATGTTTATTTTTTTAGTTGGGCACTTAACTGGTTGTAAAATTAAATCTGTGTTAGAAAATCACTTAGATAATAATTTCAAAACTTGATGAGTAAGGAACTTGTTGATTTTCCGTAGTTAATGCAATTTTTAATTTTTGATTTGAAAACGTATTTTCATTTTTTCTTATTGTTCTATGTGGATTAACACGCTTAAAATAACATGTATTTAAACTTATAACTTGTAACGAACAAAAACGTGTGGTATTGTCGATAATCCATTTTAACGTTGGACTTAATCGTTGCATGGTGTAGATAAGAAATCTAAATCTGATTTGTTTCCTACCCTAACCTACGTTATTATATTTTATCGTCGTCGTGACGTAGGTTCCAAAACAAGGCGGTCAGCGATCAGGGGCACTACGAGTCGGAGAACGAAGAAGACGTTTCCAACTTCACGTCGCTACCGTCGATGTTGGTCAACAGCGGCGCGGCAAGGATCAAGAGGACCAAAGACAAATGCACCGCGGCGCCGACGTCGACACGTCAAAAAATAGTTACCGCTTCCGATTAAGTCTCCCGTCGCGCGTGAATACCGTGGTATCATCGTTTCCGTCGACTCGCGGCGGGCTATCCGTCACGGCAAATGTTCCATAAAAAATGAAAAAAATAAAATTAACTAATTAAGATACTCCATTTCGTGCGGTAATCGCGTTCGCGTGCAAAGTATCCGACTTGTAGGCGGGTCGCTAAAACGTGCGTGGTATAGGCACAGTCAGTGGTGCAACTAGGAGTTGGGGTTTAGGATTGTAACCCCCCCCCCCCCCCGAAATGTTTACAAATTCTAGGTAGGAAAAAATTGTTTATATTGGACACACTAATTTGATTGATATGGAATATGAATATTATTCGTATTATAATTGATAGCAATAATACGACAATACGGAACGTTCGACTCTAAAACATCAATAACCTTGTTACTACGATTTCTCGATTGTATAATACTTTTTTTGTGGTTATCACAATATGAAATAGAAGTTAAACAGTTTAATTTGTAATTTAAATATTTTACTCATAAACCAAACTTAATCTTACTTCCTTATCCCCCCCTCCCTCCGAAAGCCAATTCTGGTTGCGCCACTGGACACAATTTACATCCAAACAATAACAACGATGACGATAATATATGAATTCTTCAAACTGCCGTTCAATTTGTACCGTGTGCTTTCGTTTAGGTGAAATAGGACGATCCGAGAATAGCCAAAAAAAAAAAAAAATGTAGCAATAAACAAATATAAGTACCAAATACCGTTTTATTCAATATGAACAGTGTAAGGGGTACTTTTGTAATATTATTATGTTCATTATATTATAGACTACGGAACAGAATGCCTTATACTTTTTCTATCGCTTTTAACTAGTCGAATCTGTGATATTTTTTTAACGTTTAATTTTTCCGGTACATTTGTCGGGAAAGGCCAAGTGTTTTCAATAATATTAATACATAATATTACTGGAGTGCCTCAACGTTTGTTAAATTCATGTAAGATTATTTATTATTAATTATCTAGGTTAGAGATTCTTGCTCATTCACTCGACTGTTTAGATAAATCACGCTTTACTTTTGTAATTCTTATACATAAATACATTTATAATTATGTACTATGTGTATACTCGATGTAAGATTTTAAATCTGAAAGAGTATTTATATTATTATTATTATTATTATTATTATTATTATTATAGTTTATAATATTTTAGACGAATTTTCAATTGTTAAATGATAATCAAATCATGTAGCCAGTACTCCTATTAATTAATAATCGGTTAAATCGTTTTTAAAATTCTTCATTTGCTCTATTAATATTAATTATAATTATAAGCATTCTATTTTGTCTACTACAAACGTTTAATAAAAACAGTTACTATTTTCAAATATATTTACTTGGATTTTTTTTTGTTCATAACACTTAGAAAAGGTTAGGTAAATCGGACAAAATAATACGATATCGTTATGTTTAACAATTTTTCTATTTATTTGATTATATCTGCGTATCTAGTTTGTTACAGTATTAAAGAGATATAGAATTAAAATAGCAATATAACAACTATTCAGTGAAGGTACTCAACACGAAAGCAATCATCTGTTCCACGAAAATCCCAAAATGTTTTTAGCCTAAAAAAACGTAAATAAAACAACAATTAAAAATGCTCGATCAATGAATTATAGTATAGGTGCGACTTACTGTCGATACCGACGCAGTGACAACGTCTTTGGCAAGCTGTGCGTTACTTTCTAGCATAGTATCCAGTTTAACACATTCATCAACTGCCCTCCTCACAAATTTCCATGTATCATCAAATTCAAGCGATTTGTCTTGCAATAAATGAAGTTCGCTTGTTTTGTAAATGGTAGCCAACCCTATTCGTCTAGTGTACCATCGAGTCTAGGAATTGCATACAGAATTGCACTCTTAGTCAAAATAATGAAAAAATAAAACATACTAAATATAAGTGTGTAATTTAAGTTGATATATTTTTTCTTCCTATCGATAATTATTTAATCGCTAATTTATTTATTACATCGCTTCTGGGATCGCTAATATTTTCGTTTTATATTACCGCTATATGTCCATGAAAAACTTAGAAAATTCCACGTTGATTTACAGAATTTGTCTTTACCTTATTATTCGGCTTTTTATTTAAATTACGTTATCTCATTTTCTTCTCCAATGTTTTAAGTTTATCAAATTCAATATTAGAGTATATTTTTTCTCGGAAGATTTTGCAACTATTGGTTTTTTTACCCTTAGGTTGTTTGTGCTTTTTAAGAATTACATACATCGACCAGAAAATACTAATTAATACGAACATTCTGAACGAGAATAAAAACTGAAAAAAAATTTTGAATTGTAAAAAATAAGTTGATAGAGATAAAAAAATAATTCAAATCTTTGTGATTGACATAGTTAAAAAAATAAAATTAATGTAATCATCTTTCTCCGCGACGAACATTGTCTACAACATAATATTTTTGAAAAGATATGCTGCTGCTATTAAAAAAATAATAATATTTCAATAAAATATACCTATACGGAGTATAAGTTGTGTTTCAGTACACGGAAAGTTAATAATAAGCTTCATTTACAATACCTTTTATGATTATACTTTTTCTCAACAACCGTTTTTATGTTTTTAGTAATTTTTATTTATTTTTTCTGCGATTATTTATCGAAACCAAAACCTATACAGAAACTATACACTTGTAAGAAACAATGTGGGTAAATAATACATAGGTTTTCGTTATTCACGCGGGACGCGAAAATAAGTTCTATTTACACTTTTCGCACATAAACGCGTAGGTGTCCTATGTGCTCGATGTGTCAGTGCAATCAACATTCGAACACATCACCGCGGGTAAAGTGATATTTCCTTTTATCGAGTCTCGCACGTACATCCCCGGGGTGTGTTGAGTTTAAAACATTGCGCATAGCGGTGACAATGATACGTGTACGTAAAATAGGTATTTGAATATTTCTCACGTCTATCGATCGGTCGCCCGCGTGGTAACAAATGGCGTCAACCAACGTCATGAGGTTAGACAGAGCTCGGGGCGCGTTTGACGGTTTGGAAAGCAACGCCATGGCTTGCGGCCACTGATTCAGATACGGCTGAAGCATCAACAATCTGGTTTTGATTGTGACTGACAGGAATCTCACTAGCTCGGGTTTGCTGAGCAGGCAGAATTACAAGATTAATAATTGTGCGTTTTTTTAATTTAAATCAATATTATTACGTTTCCTCGGCACACTTTAACGTTCCGTCCTTGAGGAGCCGGGACAGCGAATCGTTGCTGGAAGAGTAGAAATACAACGCTAACTCAGCCCCGGGATCGGGGAAAAGCCCGTGCACGGTGTCGGGGTAACCAAGCTCGTGGGCTCCTGGAAAACAATAAATTCTCAGTCATATCATTGATGATTCAGTTATAAAAAACAACTAGTGATTTTATTTATTATTATTGCAATCGTCGCGCAACAAAAATAAATTACAGTTAATCGGCCATACTTAAATATTGGTTTTAAAAAATATTTTTGTACAAGTTTCATACAACACCGTGCTGTAAAACTGTGCCGGATCACCCATTAGGCGGAATAGGCGCCCGCCTTAGGGCCTCACTCATTTAAGAGACCTTGTGAAAACGGAAAACTATATATTTATTTTTATTTAATAATACCTGTATTTTATTTACGAATTTACGGGACAATTGTCATTATGAAATATATTACATATTAAGTTGTAAGCGTTTGTTTCTATGCAATAATAATAATAAAATTATTTAAAAAAAAAAAAAAAAAATAGAAATAATATAATAATTAATTAATTTTTCTGGCAAATAAAATTTTTTTATAAATACTATTTTATTTATTAATAATAGTCGGTTATTATTAAAGCTGTTTATTTTAATAATTGGATAGTAATGTTAAAGATGTATATAAAAAACAATTTTGAAGGCCCAACATTTTAATTGCCTAGGGGCCCACAAATGTTTAATCCGGTGTTCCAGTCAAATCATACCTCCGGAAAATATTACAGGAGGAGAGGGGGTAAGATTTTCTACATAAAATGTCCTAGGAAAATCAATACCCCCTTCGAGGTATAATCTTACCGGGGGGTAACGATAACCTAGGATAATTGTACCAGGGGTATAATTTGCCTGTTACACCGGCACTGGTCATAAAACACGGTAAATACCCGCGGCTATTGTATCTCTGGACCATCCGTGTTCGGGTACGTATTGCAACGACGACTGCAGTATCTTTGACTTGACGTCTTGCTCGTAGCTGTCGTCGGACGATTCGTCGTGGTGTTCGTCGACCGGCGGCACCTCTCTAGCGGCCCGACCGTCGTCGCCGCCCCCGTTATTGCCGCTGCTCAGCCTGACCGCGATTTCTTTCGGTCGCAACGCGCGCGCACCGTTCGCTTTGGCGAAACTACCTGTCGAGAAATGAAAACCAAAAATAAATTATAACGACCCGGTCGAGTTTACGGGGTGGCGCCGGACACTACCACCGAACAACCGGAACCGAAACTTACCACCATCTTAGGAATCGACCGTCATTTTGAAAAATTAAACGGTTTCGCTAGAGATCAACATTGTTGCTAGAAACAACGCGCAAAAAGAATATTCAATATAAGGTTGAACAGAAATGTTTTTAAGCGGTCTAAATGGATAAGTTTTCCTTCTGGTTGTCCAGTGGCGGTACTACCTCCGTGTTTTTTTTTTCTATCTAATACTACACGTTTGTTTGTTAACATAAAACTCTCAGACTAAGGCGCACGCACGACGCACTCAGATGGATTCAGTTTTATTTTCTCGGAAATTATTTAAGAAGACGACAGCAGCTCACAATAATAGCGTTGTTATCTTCATGCCGCGTGTTCGTCGTGAGTTACTGTCCGATGATATGAAAACTAGGACCCTAATAACTACCAAAAATTTAAAAATGAAAAAAAACATCAACACTCCCAAGGAGAATACCTCCTCATTTATCCCCTTACGGTATTAACCATCTAGAGTGAACTGTTGTTTAAAATTTCAAACACGTTAATTTTTAGACCAATGGTGTAAAATAAGCGTAATATGGTGTAATAAGCGTTTTGTGATTGGGTTACGTAAGTCACAGTTTGGCGGTATAGCATAATTTAATTGACCTTTTTTGCAGTAACATATTATATAGAAACACGTTGCTACGGTGTTGTAACGTAACATTACAACAGTACGAGTACTAAAAAACATTCAATAGGAATACGAAAACGGCAAACAAATAAGGACAAAAGAAAATATCTTCAGACCTACTTAAAATAAATTTAATTTGTTTATTTTAAAATCATATTGATTACAAATGTACATAATTTAATACAATTAATATATTTAATAATTTTTAAAATCTATCAAAAACTACCAACATTTCAGCAATGATTCTTTTTAGATATATCATTGCAATGTCCATATTTAATTTAATGTTATTGATACACAAAAAAAGATCCATACAATTTTCAGTTAATTATATTAAGAATAATCTAATAATTTGATAAGTATTTAAAATCAGTCAATAGTTCTAGGATATAGGTGTATAAATAAAAAATAAAGTTTAAAACCACAAAATTGGCTTTAAAAGTTTATTTTAATAGACTATTTTTATAGTAATTCAATTTACAATTGAATATGTTGTCTGTACACATTTCAAATATTCAAAAACTCAGATGATTTACTTTACATTTATACAATCAGTTTTGCAAAAGAATATAAATAATTTAAGGTATACAAGTATCAGATTTTCTTCTATTTAAAATATTAAATTTTTTTTTTTATTAGGAATAAAACGCACATAAATTTAATTTTAAAAAATGTCGTTATACCATCACTTATGAATGATGAATTTTTTTTTAGTGTACATGAAACAAAATTATTAAATTAAAAATACCAGAATATTTTTGTTATAAAACTGCACTTTTAAAAGTCACATATTTATATCTGAAGGAATATAAAATGAATTTAATGCAATTAAAAAAAAAAAAAAATATTATAATAAGAGTATTTAAAATAGTTAAAACGTTATAATTACTAGCTATTTATATGAGTTATAGAGTTAAAAAATAATTAAATATGATATGCAATTTAGTTTTTTCATTATTATCTTACTATTTCACTATTTGTTTAAAAAAACAAAGACAAAAATGTATGCTTGTACATATACACACATCAAAATGAATTAATCTTGTAAGACATTTTTAATCTTGTTTTTTAACATATCTAAACTAGACTGCACCAATTTAGTGGAAGTATTAAAATGTGCTAACATATTCCGTTGTTCACTTTCTGATAATTTTGGAAGATTCAAAGCATTTTCTTCATCAACTATTTTATCATCTAATTTCTTATTTTCCAATTTGTACTGTTCATTCGTATAATCAATGGCATTTTGAACAATATTTACGAATTGTTTGAGATCATTTGAAAATATTTTTCCCATGTTTAATCGTTCATCATTGTATGCATATAGTACATATACAAGTGTTATAGCAGCTAAAATGTATTCTTTGTTTCTTACAACTTGACAGTTAGATATATCATCCGTTTTAATACATAGTCGAACCAAATCCAAAAGTCGCACTCCTTGAAAATATCCAAGATTCTGATTTGATCTTATTTTTGCTATTAAAATATCTTTCATCTTAATCATTAGTTGCGCTTTAACGCAAGTGTCCATTGGCTTTAAAAATGATTTCTTTAGAACAATATACTGAGCATCAGTGCATAATTTATCAATATATATCATTAATGATTCAATTGATTCCTTTCTAGTACTCAACTGATCATTATATACACAACTATATGCAGCTTCGTCTATAAAACTTTCATGGCATTTATTTAATAAATATAATGGAATTTCATTATTTTTATATTTTGTTAAAATTAATTTAGCAAAAGATTTTCCAAATTTATTATTTTCAAACACAGAAAACGCTAAATTAGAGCATTTTTCTAATATATAAAACTGATTATAAATTTTAGGTCCCCATGTCATTTCAGTTTGGAAGTACAGATAAAAAAATGAAGCCAAATAGACATTTTCTTCCATTTCTTCAAATTCATGTTCAAGTAAAAGAAATGGATCGTAAATTATGTCGGATAATATGTTTGTATACATTGTATACTCAATTGAATCAATATTAGCATGAAATACCAAAAAAGCAACTCTAGCAAAATAATATAATATTGAATTTTCATGATAAAAATGTTTATTCAATTTTCTTAAATGTTCAATTATATTTAGCAAAATAGCCTTTAAATTTTTTATATTCATTTCTTTTAAACGATTAAATGTGCTGATTAATAAATATTCTAAACATGCTCGATTAGGACTTTCAGTATTTTCCAAAATAGTAACAGCTACTAAAACAGATGATGATAATCTACACTCGTACATATCGATCAACTCCAAAAAATCAAAAATTATTTCTTGGTAATCTTTAGTTTTTGCCATTTTAAGTAATTCTCCTTCACAAAAGTTGAAATAATCTGGTCTATTCATTAAATTGTAGTTAGATAATTCCTTGCCCAATAAAGGAATTATTTCTGAAACATGATTTGTGACAAATTTCTCGTCAGATAACAATTTTGATGCAATAATTGTATTGAAATCCTTCAAGGAAGATTGAAAATCGTTAAATTCTTTTTTTGTTTCCATTTTGTAAATATAATTTTATTACATTAGACGTCACCTAAAAGAAAGAAATTATAATAAAATTACCTCAATAGTTTCTTTATGAAAAATAAAACAAAGGTATACACTTCAAAAAATAAAAACAACAATTAATGAATAAGTATAAAAGTGTAAGTTTCCATATACAATTATACTGTCTAAACAGTATTAATATTTTTTTTTCTATTAATTTATTTTTACACAATATTGTACTCAGAGTTTGAATTTGCTTAAAAGTATGACTAATTAAATTAATAAATTATTATAAAGTTAATTTTGTACATTTAAATTAAATCAAATCAATCAAGATATAGACATCGAAGAAATACAAAATATAAACAATATAAAATTATATAAATAATAAATAAATACTTTAAATTAAGAAATTAACATTAATAATTCTTTTCAAAAATAAGAAATGTTTTACAACACAGGATTGGTACATGTAAGTATTCTAATAATCAATGTGGTTTTAGCAATGGAATACCAATTTAAGCAAACATTTGAACTAGTATATTAATGACTTATATTATAAATTATAAGAGGTATATGAAAAATCAAAAAAGGAGTAACATTTTTAAGTGAATTTCCATGGTCAGATGAGGTACAGGGATAGTAATAAAGGTCTTTTAGTTTAAAATCAATGTACCAATGTACTAAAAAAAATTCTGAGTGAAAGAGATTAGGTAGTTAGATATTTATAAAAATTGTTGATATAGTAGAAGAATTACATTTTTCAATAATATAAATTGTACTTTTAATATTTTAACTTTTACAAAAAATAAATGTATCTAGAATTTTAAAAAAGTCAAAAATCGCTGATAAATAGCAGAAATGTTATTGAGATATTTGGAAACAATGAAATGTTTTAAAAATGCTTATCTAAGTACTTAATAAATGTGTCAAGTTGGAACGATTAATATACATAGAATGATAAATAAATGCTAATACCATTTACTCAACATTTGTTGAAATATGTCAACATTTCTTATTAGCAATCTCTTATGATTGTGATGATCGGAATAATCTTTTTGATTGAAATTGTGTATACGAATACAAAAAAAATACACCATAGTGAAACAGATTCATTTCTTTTTTAACTCAGAATCAATTTTTTTTTTTTTTTTTTTTTTTTATATCAATATACCTGTAAAGCTTTTAAAACTTTTTAACAAATACTACTGTAAAAATATTTTTCTAAGTTTAATATGTATATCATTAACAAGTAGAATGTCTAAAAGAAATTGCATAATAATGAGTAATAATGCTTTAAAAATTAAAAATATCAAGTTATTTAAAATAGAAAATGTTGGCATAAAGCCAAATAAAATACTACAATATATAATTTATGCAAAAATTTGTAAATATAAATTATTATGGTGGCAATTTTAAACAGTCAATTTTTATGTCTTAAGTTGCAAAAACAATTAAATACAATTAATACCTAAGAAACTGAAATAAATTTACTTAATAATCAATATCATTAAATTTGGTAATGAAATTAAAAAATAATAAACACCTTTTTTTCATCTTAGTAACTACGTCCACAGTCAGAATATTTAACATATCATGTTATAAATGTATTTTATATCCCATCTGAAATTATACATTCTGACCTACACAGTTGAATGTAAACAAAATTCTACAAATCTTGGAGTTTGACATTTTACCCATACTATTTTAATAAATAAACACAATACATAAATTAGGAAATGACAAATGGCTAAAAACCAAGCTTAAATTGCAATCAGTTACGTTTTATGCTATTTTACAACGCTATCAAAGCAGGAAGGTATTAAAATATTAGATAAATTAGTTAAAACCGTGGTAAACTTATGAAAATAAAAGATGATTACTTGAGTGTGCTGGATTAAGGAAGCAAGTGTGTATTTAATAGGTGCAATTCATCAAACAGGTACTTGTCAGGAAATGAGTACATTGCTCACTGACCATTGTAAAGGAAGAGGGAAAATTCGAAACGCAATTAAACAGAATTCATGAGGAGAAGTGAATACATTTCAATCGAAAAACTATATTTGGGGCATAAACTGTATTGCATGTTATACTCAAATGTGTGTTGCTAAACGAAGATGTGACAACACGGGTGGTTATAGAATACAGAAAAACGTGAGAAAAAAAATTATACTAACCGGTTTTCGAAAAAATTCTGGAGAACATGATCGTCTGGGACGAAACGCAATACTCGATGTTCCGAGATTGTGGTCGCGCTCAATAATGTCTTCACGGTAAACGATTTGAAAAACGAATTGGTCGTGTTTTTCAAAGCTGATGGACTAAAATTAAATCATAAACAATATTGCGGAATAGATAATGGACAGTACGTGCGTGATAACATGGGCAACCGTTCATCATATTCGAGGACACGAAACAAAGCGCATCGTTCACGATCGGCCGTTGTGCAGCACGGTTGGCCGAACGGTGCGCAACGATCGTTCCAGAACGTTTGTCAACCTCGCAGTTGGCGATTAACAGGATCTTGGCTTTTGAGGTTATGTATTTCCCGTCATTAATACACGCTCGGCGATTGATGATGTTTTCTACGACATGTAAACAAAACGCGAGCAGGATTTAAAACGTTTATCGGTTTTTCGATTCGAAACGGCTCGTTTGCAAAGCCGTATACCGTCATCTCGGCTTAGTGGACGTGGCCATGGGTTCCTTCGACGTGCACAAAGTGAATTTCTACACGCCCGAACTCCTCTCCATCCAGTGCATGGTCGTCGATAGCGACGCGCAGAAGTTGGCCGTCGGAAGGTGCCTATCTGTTTGTCGTATACTTTTTTTTTTATGGTTCATTATTCGCCAACAAACCGTCTTCAATTCGAGTTCTCGCCTACAGGTCGAACGCGTCAATTGAAATATGGGACGTCTCGCACAAGCCGCACGTAGATAGGACACTGATATGTGACAGTAGTGTTGAGGGACTCGCATGGTACAACGGAAGGTTGTTCAGCTGTAGCGCAAATGGTACCATCACTGAACACGATCTTCACAGTCTTTCCCCTCTGGTTGGTAATTTAAGGAGCAAACTCCCTTGCAGCTTTACTTTAATTATTGTATTTACATTCCAGTATAATAAAACCGTGACATCCGGATCGTGTTGGTGCATTGCAATCCACAAAGAAAATGGACGTTTAGCTGTAAGATTATAGATTAGAAATATATATTTAAACATGACATTCCTGAGTCTCTACTCGAAAAACTCGTTGAGACTTAGTATTTAAATATAAATAAAATTACTTGGTTTGTCATATGGTTGTAGGCAGGAACTCAAGATGGTTATATCAACATATTCGAAATAACATATGACAGTTTAACGTATGACAGATTAATGGACAAACAAGAAGGTATTAATATACACAAGTTTAACATTTTCAACTTTTCTTAAAGTTTAAAAAAATGTTTTAGGTAAAATAGTTTGTATTTCATGGGATTTGACTGGCGAATGGTTAGTCACAGGCTCTATAAATGCTTTGAGAATATATAGCCGTAGAACTGGTCATGCTGTACATAAACTTCCAACTGGTCAATCGGAGACTATTGTTTCATCGATAGCAGTCACCTCTGATTTTACAATAATTAGTGCCGATTCACGGTATGAATATTACATTATGATTTTGACATTAATTTATTAATATTCTATGGTATTATTTTAGTGGTAAATTATGTTTTTGGGATGGAAATAAAGGTACTAATATATCAAATCACCAAGCACTTAAATCAAATGCTCTTGTAGTTTGCTTAGATGAATCACAAACAAAAGTTTATTGCAGTGGTTAGTATATACATTAATTAACTATTTAAAACTATCTATAAATAAAATATAACTTTTTAAATGATGTTTATCCATTTTTAGGTGTTGATCCAGTTATAGTATGTTCAGAATTAGTACATATGAAATCAGATACTAGTGCTGAAAGCAGCAAATGGGTAAGAAGTGTTCAACTAGTAGCTCATAGAGTAGAAGTACGGTCATTAGTTCATTTTAAAGGCAAACTTTTTTCTGGAGGTAATTAATTTTTTTTTTTTTAGCAACAGTCATGAATACTAAATTTGATAAATTATTTCATAGGTGTTGATGGTTACTTGTCAGTGAGCAGCTATCCTCCAAAGCAATTGGTCAAATACCCTCCATTAATGACTGTATGTTATTTTATTTTTATTTTTTATTTATATTATTTAATTTATCTTCATTGCAGTCTGCTATTTCCTTAGCATCAGATGCCCGTTATGTATTGATGTTACATATAGGTCATTTAGATGTTTGGTATTTGGGTGATAAACATAAATATGAAAATAAACTGTCTAAATTAGTAACTATTAAATACTCTAAAAATGATTATGTACGGTGTTCAGCTATCTCACCTGATGGCACATGGATCGTATATTCAACTGAAGAAAAACTTAAAATATTTAGTTTAATTATGGTATGTAGTCATACTTTTATCATGATTCTGTAAAACTACATTCTTACTTATTTATACATAGGATTCTGTCACTGGTGAACCAATGATTAAAAAAACTGATATTCAACCAGTTGAGTGTGATGTTTCTACTCAGTTGGCTTTTTCATCAGATAGTAAATACTTATGGTTTTCTACAAAACATGAAAATACTTTAGTATGCTTGGAAATGTCTCACAAATTTGATTTATTGACTAAATATTGCATTGATACTAGTTCATGTAAGTCATTAATACTTTCATTTAAAACTAGAATAACATATTACATAATTTTTATAGATTTCAAAGATCTTATTCACTTACTAGAAGTGTCTAATTGGAACAAATATGTTGTTGCAGCAGATAGACAAAGCAATATTGCTGTGTTTAATGAAGGAAAAGTAAGAGTAAAGTTTAGTTTTTTAACTAGTGATGTTATTAATCAAGAATGTTTTTTCTAGTTCTATTGTTTATTACCAAAATATCATTGTTCACCCACAAGTATGAAAATTCATCCTATTACAGAAAATCTTGTGATAGCATATGCGGATCGATCTGTAAGTCTAAAGTTCTAAGCAGAGGCATTCTTAGAGTTTTTTATTTGGGAGGGGGGGAATATGAAAATTTATTAAAGGTGAGCTGTAGGGGCCGAACCCTTACACCCCTTTTTTTTATATAAAAAAACAACATTCATTAAATAGAAGTTGAAAAATATTTTGTTGTTAAGTAAAACATTAAATTTACAAAACAATAAGAAATTAGTTTTCTTGATTGTTGAGTCATCATATCAAGAATTCTTTGGCATTAGTTGGGATTTCTCTATGGACGGCCAAGACGATTCTATGAATGACATTAAATTATGAAAAATATAAAATTATATTAATTTTTAAATTTTTGAAAAAAAAAACTAGTATACTTGAATTACTTTGTTTCATTTTGATCAAAAATAAAAATACAAGTCAGTCGTAACTCGTCAATACATTATACAAATTGCTAAAAACAATTGATAAACTCAAATATGTTATCACTTGTATAATCTATGGTTTTGTGAGACTAATTTATTGTTTGCATTTTACATCAATATAATATTAGATTACAGATATTAATCTGTAACCGTGGTCTGTAATTTTTTTATTTGTTCATCAATTGCATATTCGCATGGAAAATGATATCTAGTCAAAAAAATATTTATTTATTTAATTTTTATTAAAATATTAAATATCACTTATCAGTTAATCATAAAAATTCATCTTACCTAAAAAAAATTAGGCCATGGGGATGAATTCATCCTCCATATCCTTCTCCGTGAGAACACCCATGGTTCTAAGTAATATGAATTATCAAAATGCAATATTTATATTTATTTTTCAGGTTGTTGAGTTCAATTTAAATAAAAAAGAATACACAGACTTTTCTGAAAAATTGTTTTCAAACCCACCTCAAGAATTAATTAATAGATCATTTCCAATTAACTGTATTACGTTTGATGCTTCAAGAAATGATTCTATGATTTTTTCTGATGACAATACAATTTGTGTTTTAACAAAAAGCGAAGTAATTATTTACAATAGTTTTACAAGTTTTACAGCTGTAATTTTTATTAACTATTTTTGATCTTATAGGATAATTCTAGTAATCCAGAAAAAAAAATTAAAAAGCTTACATCTAAAACATTAACATATTCTATTAAAACTATCCAAAATTATGAAGTAAGTATACCTATTTAATTTTGTTTATTATTATTTATAACCATTTTTAATAAAATTTTATTTGTATTATAAGAATATTAAACACAGAAAAACTATTTTATTTTATATTTAAATACATAAATTAAATTATATTTATAATAAATATAGACAAATAATGAATTACAATAATATTAGTTGAACAAATATGAATTGTACTAATACAAAATTCAAAATTTACTTTATTAATATTCTTCAAAACTAACAATATAAATTATTATTGTTTCTAGCAGTTAATAGTTACATGTTATGTGACCTTTATTATTGATTTTCTTTTCATGCAATACATAATTATAATATTTTTGTTTATTTTTACAGCATTTGGTGTTTTTTGACTTTTTAAATCGAGAAGAATTAGTTGCTGTTGAAGTTAACCCAAGTTCATTTGTAGAAAAATTACCAGCTGTTTACAAAAGAAAATTGTTTGGCATGACATGAATATACATGACACATTTCTAAATAATTAATTTTTTTAATGTGTAATATACTCATATTATTATAACTTTTATTTTTTACAAAGATGTAAGTTATTTAACCTAGAATTATGAATCTTTGATGTTTTTGATCTGGTTCATTGTCTGGTTTCAACATTCGAGTGTCTAATTTGTTATTGAGAAAAGATTTTCCAAACAATTCTAAATCACAAACTTTATGTGATGAACGCCATCCTACAAATCCTGAAAATTTCAATAGCTGTTAAAAATTATTCTGACTGATAATAAAAATTGTACCTGATGATGTTATAGGGATACTGTCTGGTGAAGGTACTGCATCAATCAATGGTTGAATTCTGTCTTGTTTACGTAATTTTTGTCTTCTAAGTTCGATAAAATTATCTGGTAATCCCAACTTTACTGCTTCTTCACTCCAAAGCTGTGGACATATCAGATTATCAGAAAAATGTTTGAACTCATTTTTAATCAATAAAAACATTAAATTTTGTCAATCCTCTCTGATGCCTAAAATAAAAATTATTTAGAGAACTCTAAGCTTAATAGCATTGTAATATTATTAATAGTATTAATTGAAATTTCATCGGACAACAGTCAACCACCATGCTCTTTTAATGAGACAATTCTTTTAAATTATTGTTCATACCAGTTACTTGTTACTCAAATCATATAAATTTTCATGTTATGGGTGCTTAGCTAAAATTACATGCTTAAATTAATTTTTATTTTTTGAAAAAAGTTTTAACTATAAAATATCTTAATTATAATTATACTAAAAATTACTTTACATTTAAGTGATACATTACAGATAATAACATTAGTAAACTTTGTGTTTGTTCTCCGGTAAAATGTAGAAACCGTGCTTTTTAATTTTTATCAAAATACTAATGGTAAATAATTATACGCATGTCATATCCTATCGTAGTATACATTTGTACATCAGTCCAGTAGACGTTACATTTAACGCGTAAAATCCCTATTTTCTTATTATAACTACTGTGCAAGATAGCTAGTTAGACTTGTTATTGGTTTTGTCATGTGCACTCCGAGAACGACTTACCAGTGGTGGAGCACTGAGTATCAAAGGATTTCGCTTGAGGTCCTTGTTCTGTGCTAAATAACGAACGGCTGTCACGAGTGCATTGCAAAAGTCTAATAAGATAACTGTACAGCGATTTTGGGGCTTATAATATGGACACGAGTCAAGAGTCACAGTTTTATCGAAAACGTATTGCCTTACCAATTGTAGTGCATACCTTATCGCGTGCGCAATTGCGATTACTATTGCATTCGACTGCGAATGATTATTTGTCCATTATTAAGTACAATTACAGTGCTGTTACGTTATCGCGTCGATTTTATTACTTATTACTAGCAGTGGCGCAACCAGGATTCGTTTTCGATGGGGGGGGGGGGGTTTGTAGATAGTAGATTTGGAAAAAAGAAATTATTTTTACAGATGTTTGGTGGGGAAAGGGGGTAAGATTAAGTTAGGTTTATGAGTAAAATATTTAAACTACAAATTAGACGGTTTAACTTATATTTATAGATAATGCACGTTGGGAAATAATTTAGGCTCATTGAATATTTAAATAATATACTTTATTCATAATTCATAAATTAGAGTCTAATAATATAATAGTTTACAGTTTAAGATTAATTCGTCGTGTAGAGTGCTTTGCCATTTCATCTAGTACCAAATCTGGTTTAACTTCAATATCATTATGTATGTTTAAAGCAGCCATTCCATTAAGTCTCTGCTGTCCTGTAGTGTTACGTAAATAATTTTTCAGCCTTCTAAGTGTAGAAAACGACCTTTCTCCTGTAGCAGTTGTTACTGGCAATGTAATTAAAATTTGTAATAGTTTTGATATTACTGGGTACACTTGAGAATCACATTGGAAATATTTATCCAACACAGATCTTGTGTAATGTCTGACTAATCCCTGGTAATCACAGCTTTGGTACCATAAATCTAATTCTCCAAGACTCATGTTGCATTCATTTCCTTGCAACTACGATTCTCGATAGTCGATTCGATTGTATAATACTGGAGGTTACACCTAACAAAGCCACCCGACAAACGGCGTCTAAGATCAACAATTTTTTTTTCTACGATTGAAAAAAACATCAAAAAAATTTTGGGGGGGGTCACAACCACCAAACCCCCCCCCCCTTAGTTGCGCCACTGATTACTAGTATGTATTGCATTTGGCTTTGCGCATGTGTAATACACGTTACTGAGGGATGAGCCAAATGCAATACGAATAATAAATAATAAAATTAAATACATACAGTGTATATAATATAGTTTAAAATGTATAATAATTATAGCGATCTGAATTTTGTTGAAAAAAAAGAGAGAAAATTAATTTTCCTGATGCTATTTTATTTTTGCTGTCCGAACAATTTTTGATCGAAAAATGCATGATATAATTTTCTCTTTGCAAATCCATTTGATTGAAAATCAGTAAAGTATTGAATAAAAAAAAAATATTTTTAAGAAAGCACTTCATTTTCAGTACATTTTTTCTCATGCCGAAAAATCAATTATCTTTCTATCTGCATTATTCAAGAAAATTGAATTTCAAAAGTTTTGGTACAACATTTTGAAATTTGATTAAATCAATTTATTTACCTCGAAATTAGTACTTTAACTTTTTTATATTTTTTCATTTAGCCTTTTACGTATAGAATTTGGGATTGATTTCAATTGTTTAATTTTCAACACCTTTATCCCATATACGAGTATTTAGCACAGAACTAAGTATTTAAATTTTTGAAAGATTTTTTTACGATGTACTATACATAATACAAAGTTATTACAAGTAATAAACTGATATTCTTATGGCCAATATTATATGAGGAATGGGCGAAGAAGATTTTATTAGAGCTTCACGAATAATTTTTGTATAGAAAAATAATTTATAATCAAACCGGAGAAGAAGGAAAAAAGGATTAAGACTTGGTTTATCATACACATACAATATACATCATCATCAATATTTTTTTAAACCAACCGGTTTTTTCATTTTAACGGGTAGAGCGAAATATTTTTTTAACTCCTCAAACCAGTTTCTCGTGTCGCGGATTTTGAATGAGACTTCTTTTACGATATTTTAATAGAATGATTGCATCAGTACCGACCACGAGTGTAAAGTGTAAAAAATGAATAAAATTGTCGGCACGTGTCTGACCGTACCCGTGTACGTGACCTATCAAATTTCTAACGTACATTATCATATCGTAATATTACAACGGCAGCGACTTAACTGCATCTCAAAATGAAAAACGTACATCGTGATGATATTAATATACGATTTCTGTGAACGCCACCGGGGTGTAGTCCTCATCGCATACGTTTGGTAGATAATATTTTTATGTTTCATACATATTTAAAAAGGTATTTCCCCCCTCCCCATCACTAGTACGGTAAAAATACTCCAGGTACACACCATATTGTATTTATCAGGCGCGGATACAAGGTAGGGGTAGCTATGAGGGTTGAACCCCCCCCTTAGACTTTAGGTAGAATCATATCGGACGTAGGTACTTAAAATGTTTAAAAAAATTAGACGTAAGAAAGACTTCATACAAATCGACATGTGCTAAGAAATACCACTAAAATAGCACATTTTATACTATACCACACCGTGTACCACAAGTGGATTAAATGACCACCGTATGGTTCCAGTACGTAATTTCCACATTATCAGCAACACTAATACAAACGTAGAAATTGAAATGATAAACACAAAGGTAAACGGTAATCGAAATTAAAACATGACACCATAAAACATGGTAAAACATTTTTGTCATACCTGTAGGTACCGAAAATTTGGTTTTTGACCGCGGTCGAAGCGTTAGAATTTCACATTTATGCTGTGTCCAACGTGAACGCGGCGAACGCAAATTTGCGGCAGTTGCGAACGAATTCGCGTTAACCGCATTCACCGCTCGTAATCGTGTCCTACGTGTCGCGGTGAACGCGAATTTGTGGCTAAACCATATTCAGATATTTTTTACTTTTTTTTACACGCAGTGTATTTTGAAGTGAGTTGTGCGGTATATTTTACACGTTTATGTTCCACTCTTTTAAAAACAAAAACAACTAAAAATGTCTTTTAGTCTTCAAAAACAATTGTTAATATTGAAAAGTGCTGAAGTGAAATATTTAATATACTTTGTATTACATTTATTCCAAAGAACACATTCATTTTTTGTACCTCAGATATAATGAGCTCCATATTGATCATACAACAATATCTTAAAAATATATAATACTATTATAGTTAAAACACTATATATTATAATTTAATAATATATATTACCCGTTTACCTATTCGTATCATAAAATAGTCGTATGAAAATTATTAAAAAATCATTTATAATAATAAATCGTAAATTGTAATAGAAATATTTTGACGTCTGTTCACTCAAACGCGCGACCAAAAACAAAACAATTTGATTTTCAAACCGTGCGGCGAACGAATTAATTCGTTCACGTCGCCCACGTTTATCGCGTACGTTGAACAATCTAATCTATATTTATATGTTTTATAATTTTATTCGCCGCGTCGCCCGCATCGCAACGCTTTTGCCACCGTTCGCCGCGTTCACATTGGACACAGCGTTATCCGTCCAGTAAGATGGGAATCCAATATTGGCGGGCGGTAAAGTGGAAATCCCTGTAACACAGTGTAGTAAAGTGGAAATTTCCAAGAGCGCAGGCCGCGTATTCCCGGCACAACCAGAAACTTAAATGTATACCCTTATTGTTTTTGAAACTTAACACACTGAAATTTCATAGTGTTCAATCTTATTGTATTTAAATCTTATCATGTAACTTTCTTGACAAACAAAATTTAATTCAAATAATTAAAATCCTTTGTGTTAAAAGTTGACGACCATTTGAATGTAAACTTTTGCATATGAAAAAGCACTAATAATAAACTTAAAAGTCTTACTTTTAATAAAAATTAAAATACTCAAAATAACTTAGATATATAATAAAATAAATAACGATGATTCAAGATCAATTTATTTGTTTTCGTGAAGGTGTGTTGTTATCAGTGGCGGTCAAATAATTTTGTCATGGGGGGATGTAGCTGATTTTTTAACAAACACTATATATAAAAATCTTTATTTTTAAACATGGAAATTATATTAATGATATTTATATTATTAAATCTATTTTTCTGGTTTTTTTTGCCAATTCATCCAGTACTTCGTCTACAGTTATATTGACAACCTCACGATGAACAACCATTGTGGTTAAACCATTGAGACGACTCTAAAATAATATAATTACACAATTCAAATAATAATATAATATATTATGTTAAGCATTAAGTACTAAATTTAAATTTCATACATTCTTATAATTTAACTATAAGGAAATTAAAAAAATCTAAAAAGTTTGTTTCAATTAATATTTTAGTGTTTTATATTTGAACTGTTAATTTTATTCGAGCCTAGAGACTGTATAATAACTAATAAGTACAATATATTTATTTTTTTAAATAGAAAATAGATGAATACCTATATTATATTATGTATAATATGGATTAATTATAAATATTTAAAAAAAGGTCATGGGGGGATACATCCCCCCCGTTTGACCACCACTGGTTGTTGTGGTGACGGGAAATAATTGTTATTTTAAGAGATAACGGAAATATTTGTCGAGATCGGAAGAATCTTTTAAGACTATTATTTCAATATAAACAACTCTCTTACTGTTTTTGTGTATTATTATAGGCGTTGAAAATATTTGCAAGGCATTCAATCATCCATGAAATTCTTAAAAAAAATCCAAAACCTGCTCCCTTACTTATAGGATCGTCCACTGTTGAATTACTTTCATTCCAAAAGATAATTTCTCTTTCACTCATAAGTGCTATACAATAAAGAAATCGAAATGATAAACACAAAGGTAAACGGTAATTGAAATTAAAAAATTACTCTCTAGGTATAACATTTTTGTCTCAACTGTACCGAAAGTTTGATTTTCGACTATGATCGAAGCATTGGATGTCACATTTATTCGGCCAATAAGATGGGAATCCCATAGTGGCGAGCAGTAAAGTGGAAATCCCAAAAAGTGCCAGGGGGGGAGGTAAAGTGGAAATCCCTATAACACGGTGTAGTAAAGTGGAAATTTCCAAGAGCGCTCCCAGCACAACCAGAAACTTAAATGTATACCATGGTCCGTACAAAACATAAACTTTCGGTTAAATCTTATACACATAACACAACCTCCTTGCACGTCGCATATACGTTTAAACATATTTCGTTTTCATTGTTCCCACACAGGTGCGTTGGACGTTACGGATACATTTGTTTTGCGTGATTTATATAATAATTCGTATTAAAAAATGAGATCGTTCGCGCAAGTGTAACGTCGCCGTTCAAATTATCTCATTTCGTGTTAACACGAGCACCCGATAACGGTGACAGCGTGTGATGTTCGAGAATTTTCGATTTGTGCGTTATCGTGGTACGATTATCACTGGTCCGTGGACGCCATTACTGCCGGGACTTTTTTTTTGTGACTTTTTAATTTTTTTTTTCCGTGGACACTCTTCTGCGAACGTCCGACTCGTAATTTTTCCCGTGCTACCGGCCGTGTGTTTTTGTTATTGCCGCATAGCACGGTAGAGTCGCCATCTCCGGGGACCACTTCGTGTGTATAATGACTGTTCGAACCGTAGCTGACAACTGTCCGCAAAATTTTCTTTCGGTTATCGTCGTACGCGGAGAAGCCAGTTAATGTAAATGGAGACCAACACTGCTGATTAACCGATTCTTCTGCCGGTTGTGGCGTTTGTCGCACGTGTGAACACGGTCGCGTGGGCATAACCACTCGAACGCAAGACCGTCCAAGGTATGTTCCGTTATATTTGTTAAAAATATTATACTTATTAGTATACGATTTGTCTTGCTATATTATTACAACAAATTATATTTATCATATTTATTATTAATTTTTTTGGTAATATAACTGTGGCGCCTTTGGCCCGTTTATTCCGGCATTTATTATAATTTCATTGATTATCCTTGTTAAGTGTTCTTTTTTATTGCAAACGACGTGAGTACGCCACACAATTGAACTAATGATGGTTTGACTGCGAAGCGCGCAAAGAAGCATAAATACGAAAGATGACAATCAGTACAATAATTGTAGTGAACCATTAACTTCACCATACACGGTTAAAACAGCAAATGCTGTTTCACTAAATCTATTGCCTGAAAAATCAAAAGAAATATATATAATGGCTTATGAAAAACTATAAAAATTGAGAAAAATAAATAAGACCAAATCGTTGTCGGAAAATGTGTTTCTTACAAATTTTAACAAATTATCTACTGAAATTAAACCGTCAACTCTATGATCTATTTATTCAATGCTAAAAGCATGAAAAATATGAAACATAATATTAACGTTGGTACTTATTTAAAATTACAAGCTTTTTTATAGAGAAAATCGAGTGGATTAAAAGTAAAAATTCAAAAGTTTTTGACTTCAACCGATTTAAAAAATTCATTGACGAAGCTCCTGTTATTCAATATTTAGTGAAAAGGTAAGTGAGATAAATTGTTTTGTATATATTGGTTATTCATTCTCCGTTCATTTATTACAATATATGTAATATTCATTAGTGAAATATATATATTACACATTAAATTTCTCTATTCAAAAACAAATTGTTCACGATCATTTACTATTAAAGGGGAGTTCTATGATATTTTTAAGAAGTACATGGATTTATGACCCACGAATGTATTGTCAGATAGATTTTTATTTTAGTTTTAAAAACGGTCTAGCAGGTTATTGGAAAAATTATTACAGAGTTAGGTTATTTAATATTTATTTAAACAATTTATAGTTTTAATAGTAAAATAATAAATATAGTTAATAATATAGGTGCCTAGGTATTTTAAAATAATTATACTTGTGGATTAAAATTATAAGTTATAAATTTCAAAAAGGTGAAAATATCATAAGTACTACATCTATTTAATATACATTCTACTTTTTTTTGTTGTATCTTTATATATGTATTTATTATTTTAAATTGAAATTGATTGGATTTTATCATTTCTTTTTTAAGATTTGATTTCAATCTTGTTAATTTTAATTTAATTTATGTATGTGGTGTGTTACTGTGACAGCCATTATCGGTGATTTTTAAAAAACTGAACATTAAAATATATGGATGCCGATTTCAAATAATATAAGCTTGGTATGGGAATGCACACGGAAATGGATCAAGTATAGTTTACAAAATTCTGAAATAAGCAAATGGTTGATTATTTGTTATAGATTAGTGTTCTTAAAGCCGGAGAATGTTTCAGGCATTTTTTTTACATTAACCCTAATGGAATCGAAATGTAATGACAATCGAGTTACTAAATTCGCAGATTATTTAGTTGATACATACGTAGGAGAAGATGTTATTTTTCCGCTTGATCTGAGGTAGCCTGTGCGATAGTTGATATGTATTTAACAAATAATGCATGTGGATCATTTCTTGCGAATTTGAATTCAAGTTTCAATTCTACTCGTCCCAATATATATTCCGTCATTACGAAATGAAAAAAAGTACAAACAGAAACGTACATCAAAACCAACAATCTAAATGCACCATTTCAATTTCAAAATATAAAAACTAAAAAAAAAGAAATCTTAAAAACAGCAATTACAAAATATAAAAATAAGGAAATATCGGTGAGTGAATACGTCAAACACATGGCTTTTTACCTAAAAAAATAGATTTACATTATAATCTAATATTATAACACTAAAATTTTTGCATACACTTTCACCCTTTTTATATATAAATATATGTAGGGTGACTTATAGTAATTTTTTAATTTTCCGGGTGTGGCATGTTTGGGAAAACAATATCACACTTCGTATTAAGATTTTGATCAAATCGAACCGACAGTTTCATATTTGAATATTAAACATTCGTTTCGCGTACACATTACAAATACATAGAACATACACGCGCAATATTAATTTGTATGTAAAAATGGTAACCGTAAAATAAAAAGTACTGCGCACTTACCGTTTCTACGTTGTTTTTCGAATAAAATCCCCATCGCTCTGGCCATCTGGCCCGCAATTCGTTCTCCCGGTTTATTATGGTTTTCCTGCAGCAAAAATTAAAACGACAACGATAAGTAAACAAGTCGATCAAACGAAAACGCTCATTCATTCTGCCCATAGACGGAACTAGAGAGTGGAAGACGGGCGTCCATCCCCGGGCGTAAAATTTTAAAGGGTGTAATTTTTGTTATTATTAACAAATAATTTGATATTTATAACTTTATTAAATATTGATATTAGGTTAAAACTCAATAAGTATTATTTTATATTAACTATTGGAAAAAATTCCCGAGAGTGTATTTGATTATTGGTCTATGATAGGGCGTCATTTTAACATTTTTCCTAGTTCCACCTCTACGCTAAACGACCGCGTGCGCACAACCCGGATGCTGAACGTTCGTTATGGGTGTTGTTATTCAGGCACAAAGTTATTCCGCACGCGTTCCGTCTGCGACACACGGGGGCGTATTTTGACTTATTTATAGAGTGGGGGGGAGAGCGACTCAGATGTTTTTAGGCTTAAAATTTACAAGAAAAAAGTTTTTGGTAATATTTAAATCAGGTGAATCCTTAATATTTGTGGTTTTTCTTTTTTTTTTTAATCTAATGCCGAATCCACTTAGAATCGACTTTTGTGCAGTTCTTTTTTAACACCTTTCCATATTTTGAAAGTTACGCATGTGTTTTATTTGATTTTTCACTGAATATGGACCTGACAAAAAGCCCAATTCAGTATTCACAGTCACGCGTAGTTTGATTTCGTTTTAAAACGATCCACATTAAAAAAATTTGAAACGTGTATCTCACATATAATCAATTCCTTAAATACGGATTAAGAGGGGGGGGGCGATTGCCCCTTCGTCCCCCCCCTAAAATACGCCCATGGCGACACATTGTCTACTCACAACCGGCCGTCGCACTGCACCTTGTCCACCTTCTTGTTCTTCTTCCTCTCCTGCGGATGACCGTTATTGTTCTTATTGGCGTTTTTATTGTTGTCACTGGTGCCGTTGTCGCCGGTCCGTTTCACCTCTTTGCGCCGCGATAAGTTGGACATTTCGCGGGCTATTTACCACCGCGATGTCCTCGTGAGCACCGCCAGTGTCGAACCATTGACAGAACTCGGGCGCGCACGTATCGGGTGTAAAGGAACTCTCGTCTCATCGACCCAACACACGTCGCTTGGAAACCGAACCCACTGGAACGCTGTTCGTCGTTTTTCGTGAGCTAGTAGGCTAACTCGATTGATTAAATGTAATAACACGACGACGATTTACATTTCAATACAACACTTAAATAATTTTTACACGAGAAAAGTTTTTGCACTGCAGTTCTCCGTATACTTAAGTCTTTACGAGTTACGAGTGAGAAGTGAGGCTCCGAGTAACAGATCTGCTCCCCTTCTACGCAGTGTTTTACTAACTAGAACAGCATAATATATGTTCTTAGATCAATTACGTAATGGGTTTAATCTACGAGACAAGGTTGTTTTAACCATTATCGGATTTGCGTACAATATTCTTGATCAACAAAATCTACTCAATGGATACGTCATGTCGTATTCGTATGGATCACGTTCTCCAGTGCCTTCGGTAAAGAACGTTCGCCACTAGGAAATCCGACACAGAAGGCCGTGGATTTTGGAAAGCGTATTGTGAACACTATAACTTCAGATTTCCTAAAAAAATCCTAAAAAATAACTTACCTACTGTTGTGTTGTGCAAATGTAGTGTATTATTACTATCGTGATTATTTTATTATTATATATTTTTTTATTATTGCTATGATTTTACAACGAGATGCGAAAAAACCTTTAATGTATTTTGCCTTTTGGTCTCGTTATGTTGTCGTGTCACGCACAATCGTATACTAATTATTGTTATTACGTTACGGAACATGCATAACGCATAACATTAATTGTTTAATGTATATTTATTGCGCGCGTACACGTCAAAACGATGTTTGACGAATAACTACTATAGTGGACGCGAAAAATCTATAATCGATAAATCTCTATGAGTTCCTTTATGTGCAGCATATTATTTTTACTCATAAACGTTATTTTTTTCCTTTTTTATTCGATTCCGGCTTTAAACATTTTTTAAAACTGTTAATCAATATTTTAGTTTTATTACCGCGATATAATTCATTTTTTATTATTTTTCTTTTAAAATTTAATTTCAAATGTGTATTTTTATTTGAAATCTCAATTATAGTTTATATTTTTAATCATATTCATAAATTATAATATATGAATAGGGATGGTTATAAACTTATTTCAACATGGTTTTTTTTTTTTTTTTTTTATCGTACCAAGAATAACAAATGTATCTTTTTACTTGGTTCGCTTATTACGTATAATAACCCATAGTAATATATAGTTTTAAATTACTTGGGTAAATAATCATTTTCGACATATTATGTGAAAAACAGTTTTTTCTGTACTTTTATTTAAATAAAAGAACAAAAGTAAAATAAAAAATGGCTTCTATATGAATTGAGATAAAAACTTTGTACGAAATATTGTAGGCATGGCCATTTGTATTATCGTATCAGCCTTAAATCTGTACAATATATATATACCACACTAGTTAATAAATGATCATATAATGTTTATTGAACAACCGAAATATATTGCTATAATAAATATTAAATTGAACAAAGAGAATATATTTTTAAAATGACGCGAGAATATCAACATTGAAATTATGTGATAAGAGTAGAATATAACATATTTGATTTTTTTCTTACTGTCATAAATTGTAGTACACAACGAGAAAAACAATGAAGTGATACAATTAATTTATAATAAATATTGTATCGAAAATAATATGATCAGAACAGTGATCGATTTATAATTATAAACATAATCAATGGTATAGTTCAATATCTCACGAAGCAGTTGATAGGATACTTTCTTTTGCTCATTATATTTTCTATCAGATAATGTATCAATATTTAAATATACATATCATTAATTGTGTCCCAGATAGCGATATAATATTTAAAAAAAAACACTGAAGGAATGTTTTTAATAGAACTATTACTATGTCAAAAAGTTTTATACTAATTTCCACATAATTATTCAACGTTCCTATAATATTCTGACGTTATTATTTGGCCACGTAATATTCACTATCATTATTTCAAAACGGAATACTCAATGTTATTGTTAAAACGTTTTCTTAAACTAATCAAAACATTGATGGTATAATATTTTTCATGGAATATTCTTAAAACGATGATCGAAGTTTATATAAATATAAATTATGTTAATATAAAAAAATCTGGTAAAAACTTAATTATAATCAAGACGGGTTAGTTGACCATTTTTGTAGTTTACCATATTTTGTCTTACATAATTTTCTTTTTTTACATACCATCTTCCGTCTTTATAGTTATATGAATACTTCGTTATTTAATATAAGTTTCTTTTGCTAATTTTTTTAAAATATTTGTGAATTGGAACATATTCAGGTGTGCTGAGTAAAACATACTATCAAACTTGGGTTGGAAGGCTTCACAACTATTCGTAGTTCGAATTATAGGCTTTATGTAAGAATTTAATATATAATTGGAAAATGTCTGTACTTTTCATTTTCATATAAAATTGATACAAAATCGTCAGTAAAATAATCCTCTACTTCATTTGGTTTTAATTTTTTTTTTATATTTATGCGCAAGACACGCACGGACAACGGGTATCATCCGGGCCTGCAGCTGCAAGTAGCGCGCGTGGTGTAGGATCGGAATCGATTAACGTCGGTTGGGCGGTTAATTAAAATAATTTATAAGAAAGATAAGGAAATCGTTAACGGTAACAACGGCAGGTAACAACCCTAGAGTTGTGCCCAACGAATACGCGTTGCCGAGGCGTACACAGGTCACCACCACATGCATGGTATTGTAATTATGAGCGGTTGCGGTCTCGGGCAAAAGGGTGGACGGCGGCGCAACGTATAACAAACGCTCGTGTAGCGTATTACGTTATGCCACAAGGGTGGCTGAGCCAGCCGGGGGATGAAGCAGGTGTTGCGAGGCGGCGAAGGTCGGGCGAGTAGACGCGCGTGGATACGACCGCCGCCGTGACTCGAAGACCGGAATTTATAGTTTATTTTTTACCCACATGTTTGTATGCACGTTTTACGTGTACATGTTCACGCAAACCGCCGACGAAGGGTGTCGTCGCCGGAGGAAATACGGTCAAAGGAAGAATATTATTGCGTTCATTTTGTTTACGCAGGTATTTTATGTGCGTGTGTGTTGTATGCTGTATGTAGGTAGGAAGCACTGCACATGAATCGCGCTCCGATAAATTTTAACGAATACGCCACTCGCGTCCTAACGTAAAAACATTATTTTCCTTTCCACTAAGAACTGTCGTTAGCAAATTATGGCAGGTTAAAAATATTGATTTTCATTGCTATTATGTAATTAGAAATAAATAAAACAAAAATATGTAGGCTTAAATGATAGGAATGTAATATAATAATTAAAATAAACAATAAAAACAAAATTATTATTAATATAAAATTAAAAAAAATGTGGTAAAAACTTAATTATAATTAAGACGGGTTGATTGGTCATTTTTATAGTTTGCCATATTTTGTCTTTGATTAATAAACTTGGATTGGAAGACTTCACAACTATTCGTAGTTCGAATTATAGAACATGAATACATTGCCTGCACCGAAAGTGGGTTGTCACAATCAGGCTTTGTGTATATATTTAATATATAATAGAAACATTTCTGTACTTCTTCACTGTCGGTAAAATTGATACAATATCGTCAGTAAAATTATTCTCTACTTCATATGGTCTTAAAAATGGGAGGCCAAAAAAAAAAATTTCGTCGTTTAAATAAGACCGGACGCAATTCGTGTGTATCCGTAGGAAGTATACTTTTTATGTGTACTAGGTGATTTTTCAAACGTTAAAAATTTGTTTTTTCGGTTGACTCGTGTGTTTTCGTATCACTCGTGAGAATCAACAGATATACATTATTATTATTATATATAAAAAATAAAAAAATAATTATTTTTACACTCGCATTTTAAATATTTTCTCTTCGGAGGGGAACATGGAATATCGTAAAAATGTTAAAAGTATTTGAAAGTATTCAGCCGTCAAAAGTTACGAAAGCGTGAGCATCTTTTTGAAACTAAGCCACTTCCGCTGTTGCGGTTATTGGCGTTATGTTTAATTTGTCAATGGTTAATTAAGTTAGTTCAAACCCAGTATTTTATCCATTGGTAAAATACGAATGATTTCCAAAAGTTGTCAATGTCTAAAAATAATCTTGATTGTATTGCCATTTATTTCTTTTTGGCTGTGATGTAGTTCGAATTGTATGAAATATTTATGGTCGCATATTCTGGAACAGAATACTCTTTTGAAAACGTTATATTCAAATTGAAAATCGAACCATGGAATTTATTATTTATTATGAGTTTCAAAGATTATTGCAATAAAAAGGAATGCCAGAGGACCTACCCGAAAGCATTGGTATTCCATACTCCATTCGTATGAACTTTAAATATTTAAAAAATACTAGTTCAATGTTTGATTTAAAAATTTATCAACTGTTTCCAAAATGAATTTTTTTTTTTTTTTTTTGCTTTAGAGTATGAAATGTACGATGTGGGTGTTATTATTAAAACGTGATTATTGTATTACGATTTTCAACAGTTGCAAAATTAAAATAATTTGAAGTTGATGTTGATTTGAATGAAGTTGATCGTAAAAATGAATGTCTAAATATCATTCTGTACAACGTAAAGTGAACATAATATAGTATTGTATATATTTACACTTCGCATCAACTATAAGTGAACACTTCGATACTAACACATATTATCAGTGTTGGATTAATTACTTTAAAAAAGTAATAAGTTATTTTACTCGTTACTCATTACTTAAATGTAATGAAATTACATTGCACGTTGCTCAAATAAAATTGGAATGAAATTATTTTACTTTTCAATAATAAAAGTAGCTACGTTACTTTCAAGTAGCAATTGAAAAAAATTAAAAATATATTAACTTATGGTTAAATACTATGAAAAAAGAACTATACCACTTATAACAATGTGCTTTTTTGAATTCTATTAACTGATCTTGAATGTAAAAAAAAAAATTAAATATTTTGGTTTTTATTGAAAAATGCATAATGATAAGGGTCCTCAAAATTTTGATTGGTACACAGGCCTCAAGTAGTCTAGTTTTGGCACTGCAAGTGTAGTATGAGTGTCACATGAATTCAAATTATGTTTTAAATTATTAAATTTATTAAAATAAATCCAGTAGCTTTAATTAATTTAATTTAATAATAATATT